ATTTAATATTCTTCCAATTTTTAATTTAATTTATGGTTTTATTCTGTTTTTCATGTGCATTTTTGTGGGTTTCTATTAAATTCTAAATCTGGTTTCGAGTTACATTTAGTGATAAAACCAAATTAATAAATTCTACATTAAACTACATTGTAAAATTTGACACTTTTATTGTACAATTAATATCGCTTCAGGGTTTGAAAATCATTATTATGCATTGGTATTGAAATTGACTAAAAAAAGGGTTATAATTATAATTTTTTATGTTCCAAACATAATATGTACATTTTTACCTAAATAATATCATTGGTTATGAATAAAATGATAATATTTTCAAAAATAAAAATTGACCAATGCAATAAAATTTCTCTTTAATAAATTCTTTCATGTTATATAAAAGAGTTACTTTTAACATAATAATTATAGTTTAAAAATTTTTATTTAAGTCAAATGCTCTAGAAGAAGAACATTTAAACATTTTTATTATTCTTCATTTTTAAATTTTCCAATTACTAATTTAAGGTTCTTTTGAGTTATTCAAGTTCCCTTTTGTGGATTTAAATTGAATGAATTACTCATCTCTACCTAAAACTGATGATAAAACCTTATTTTTCATGTTCTAAAAATAATATATGCATTTTTATCTGAAAGATTTTAAATTAAATTACTAAATTAGTAATTTTAGCAATATAGTACCTAAAAATGAAATTTTTGTTATGTAGAAAATGGATAACCAAGCGGGAATTGATATACAAGAGTTGTCTGTACATGGTATTTCATTCCAAAGGACTCCAGCATCAATGATTCAGGAATTTGCTACCAGAAGAAATATCCCTTGTAAATTTGACCTCATAGACAATACTAATCCATCATTAAACAATGTATATAAGTATAGATTAACATTAGGTGACGATCAAACTGTAGGTTATGGAACTTCAAAAAAAAGTGCTAAACATCAAGTAGCTTTAAATATGCATAACGTTTTAAAGCAACATAATCCGCGTTTTATTGAAACTGAATTTAAGCAAATTGATTTTGAAAACCCAGTTGATGTTTGTAACGCTATTAAAGTAAACTTTGTTGGCCAACTATCCAATTTATGTGTTATTAACAATCTTGGAAAACCAGTTTATGAGATAGTACGAGAAGAAGGAGAGCCACATACTAAATTGTATACGTTTAGTTGTCAAGTAGCTCAAATGGTTGAAACAGCTACATACAAGACCAAAAGACAGGCCAAGAATTTAGCTGCTTTTCAAATGCTGAGAAAAATAGAATCCATGGAATTTACTTTAGTTTAATTTTCATTCTGGAAATACTTTTTTCAATCTATTATAATAAAAATCCTTAATTTGAGCCATAGATAAATCTAAACTACATATTCCCCAAAAAATTGTTTGGTTTAGTTTAACCGTAGTTTTTTTCATATGCACAGCTACTAAGATTTCTATAAAAGTAGTCACTCAATCGAAATTTGGTTTAGCAATCAATTTTTCCAATTTTTTCCCATCATTAAGTAATATTATATTTCTAAGGTTCCTTTTTTTCATCATAGTCCTACCAAATACATTGTTGTTCATTACCTAAAAAACAAAATTGAAATAAAAATATCTTTTTCAAATTAATTATCTGTTTTTCCATGAAGATTTGATTTAAATTATATATATATGGTTTCAATAAATATTTTTGATAAAATTTTATTACCCTATGTATTTTAAACCTAAACTTATATAATGGAATATATTAGTAGAATATATTTTTTCTTATCATATAGAGTTGTTGTTAATTTAGGTAATTTTTTATTATCATTTATTTTATCTCCAAATGGTCTTAAAAAATGGTCTGATGAAACACGGGATTAATTAAGTGAAATTCAAGAAGAATTGGAAGATGTAAATAATAAATTCGATTAAGTATTTCCTGATAGAAATATTGATATTAAGACTTCTTAATTGAAACACCAATATATTTTATTTAAAGATTAAGATAAGGATAATTCTTATATGTTTTTCAAAGGACAGGATAAATATATAAAATATAGAACAAACGTATACAGTAAAACAAAAGTGATTACAGTAGATACCAAAAGAACCCATATCCAATATCCTATCGATTTAATAAAATAAACTTAAAGAAAAATTCAAAAATTATCAGGATTATTGAACTGATTTTATGGAGAATATAAATGTATTAATTTACCTCCTTTAGACAAACGAACTTCATTTGTAAATTTAAAGAAAGAGGATTTCAAAAAAAAATTTATAGGGTAAATAAAATATTTTTAAAAGATTATGCTGAACGGGAATTTTAAAGGATTATAAAAAGATTAAATGATGAAAATTATAATGTTCTATACTTGTTCTGTTATTATTATTAAAAAGATTCTTTCAAGTTCCATTTAATTTGGATTTATTTAAATAATTAAATTTCAAAATTTTGTTTTCTGTAATTCTTCATTATAGAAACTTCTTTTAATAGTTTTATAATTTAAGTCTTTAATTTTATAAGTAATTGTATTTTTGTACATTATCTCTATAACAATGAATATTTCTCATGTATATTTAGAATTAAATCAAACGTTTTCTCAACTTTTTTATTCTAACCATATCATCAATACAAAATTAAATTTTTGATTTAAATATTTCATTTGCGTAGAATTTAATAAAACATTTTTTTTTCATTAGATTTGTTTACATTAAATGGTATCATTCTAATTGTTCAATGAATTTCTTTGAAATATTTTTCGTTCAATAAATCTCGTTAAATATCAACCCATCTTTTATTTTTCTGAACTTCAAACTGTATACTAATTTTACCATTAAAAGTTCTGTTGAAACGTTCAATAATTGCAGATTTCTCTCAGTTTTGTGTATGATATAGTTTTATATTGTATTTTATTAACATTTTCTTAAACTGTTTTTGTACAAACTCTGTTCCTTTGTCAGTGTGAAGTAATGTTGGTGAATTATGTTTCTGTTTTTTAGCCCTTTTTATTATTTCTTCAAAGCCTTTAGTAACATTTTTTTCATCTTTTTTCTTAAGGGATTCAGACCAAGCAAATTTTGAAAAATTATCTATAACAATCAACATATACAGATAACCTGAATTTTCATCACCATAATGTGAGAGAAACCGCTCTGCATTATCTCAGGTAATTTTTCACGGTTTAGCATTAATTCGCTATTAAACGAAAAATTTCCGTGTAATGACTGCGATACATTCAACTTTTTATGTGTGGAAATTACGACTGATATTTTTTCTTGGGTATTTAAAAAATTTCCGTTTGGTATGTCTAAGATTTATAACGGTTTTTAATATATCATCATCCGTTTCCGGTAGACATTATATTGTATTACTATAGATACAAGTTGATGGACTATTTATTATGAACGTTTAAAAATNAAAACCAGTTTATGAGCTAGTACGGGAAGAAGGAGAGCCACACACTAAATTGTATACGTTTAGTTGTCAAGTATCTCAAATGATTGAAACAGCTACATACAAGACCAAAAGCCAGGCCAAGAATTTAACGGCTCATCAAATGTTAGAGAAATTAGAATCCATGGAATTTCACGGATCAATGACTCCTGTACTAAACCAAAACGATCCAATAAAGATTTTGGAGAATATTGAAATTAATAAATCTCAAGTACAACTTTCAAAAAAAGGGACAACTGAAAAAGTATGTAATTTTTATTAGTATATATACCCTTATAATACACAAAAAGGCTCTCTAACATGTTAAAAATATGCTGTAATATTGCAATAACATACATCTTAAAAATGAAATACGGGATAAGAGATTAAAAGTCTCCTCTCAAATGACTGTAATTGAATAAATTAAATTTCTAATACTACAAAATTGACCAATGCAATAAAATTTCTTTTTAATAAATTCTTTAATGTTATATATAAGAGTTACTTTTTAAAAATCATTTTTCTTATTTTGAAAGTTTTATTAAAGTTAAATCGTAATTTTTAATCATATTTAATATTCTTCCAATTTTTAATTTAATTTAAGTTTCTAATTCAAGGTTTTTTTCTGTTTTTCATATGCATTTTTGTGGGTTTCTATTAAATTCTAAATCTGGCTTCGAGTTACATCTGATGATAAAACCAAATTAATAAGTTCTACATTAAACTACATTGTAAAATTTGACACTTATATTGTACAGTTATTATCGCTTCAGGGTTTGAAAATCATAATTATGCATTGGTATTGAAATAGACTAAAAAAAGGGTTATAATTATAATTTTTTATGTTCCCAACATAATATGTACATTTTTACCTAAATAATATCATTGGTTATGAATAAAATGATAATATTTTCAAAAATAAAAAAATAATTTTATATCCAATTTCAATATTAGAAATTTAAGCACTTTTTTTTAATTTAAAGTGTCCTATTTTGTATTATAGGAAATGGATAACCAAGCAGGAATTGATTTACACGATGGATGTGTGCATATCAGTTCATTCCAAAAGACTCCAGCATCCATGATTCAGGAATTTGCTACCAGAAGGAATATCCCTTGTAAATTTGACCTCATAGACAATACTAATCCATCATTAAACAATGTATATAAGTATAGATTAACATTAGGTGACGATCAAACTGTAGGTTATGGAACTTCAAAAAAAAGTGCTAAACATCAAGTAGCTTTAAATATGCATAACGTTTTAAAGCAACATAATCCGCGTTTTATTGAAACTGAATTTAAGCAAATTGATTTTGAAAACCCAGTTGATGTTTGTAACAATATTAAAGTAAACGTTGTTGGCAGTTTATCCAATTTATGTGTCATTAACAATCTTGGAAAACCAGTTTATGAGATAGTACGAGAAGAAGGAGAGCCACATACTAAATTGTATACGTTTAGTTGTCAAGTAGCTCAAATGTTTGAAATAGCATCATTCAAGACCAAAAGACAGGCCAAGAATTTAGCTGCTTTTCAAATGCTGAGAAAAATAGAATCCATGGAATTTATTTTACTTTAATTTTCATTTTGGAAATACTTTTTTCAATATATTATAATAAAAATCCTTAATTAGAGCTATAGATAAATCTAAAATACACATTCAGAAAAAAATTGTTTGTTTTAATTTAACCGTATTTTTTTTATATGCACAGCTACTAAGTTTTCTATAAAAGTAGTCACTCAATCAAAATTTGGTTTGGCAATCAACTTTTCTAATTTTTTTCCATCATTAATTAATTTTATATCTTTAAGGTTTCTTTTGTTCATCATAGTCTTACCAAATACATTGTTGTTCATTAACTTAAAAAAAAATTGATACAAAAAAATCTTTTTCAAATTTATTATCTGTTTTTGCATGAAGATTTGTGTTAAATTCTATATATGGTTTCAATCAATATTTTTGATCATATTTTATTATCCTATGTATTTTAAACCTAAACAGATATAATGGAATATATTAGTAGAATATATTTTTTCTTATCATATAGAGTTGTTGTTAATTTAAGTAATTTTTTATTATCATTTATTTTATGTTTAAATGATCTTAGAAAATGGTCTGATGAAACATGGGATTAATTAAGTGAAATTCAAGAAGAATTGGAAGATGTAAATAATAAATTCGATTAAGTATTTCCTGATAGAAATATTGATAATAAGACTTCATAATTGAAACACCAATATATTTTATTTAAAGATTAAGATAAGGATAATTCTTATATGTTTTCCAAAGGACAGGATAAATATATAAAATATAGAACAAACGTATACAGTAAAACAAAAGTGATTACAGTAGATACTAAAAAGAACCCATATCCAATATCCTATCGATTTAATAAAATAGACTTAAAGAAAAATTCAAAAATTCAATCAGGATTATTGAACTGATTTTATGGAGAATATAAATGTATTAATTTACCTCCTTTAGACAAACGAACAAGTTTCAGTAACAAGTCATCAAAATGAAAACACATCATCAAAATGTGGCATTTGATTATAGAAACTATTGATGATTGTTTTTGTATAATGTTCTTTTTTAGCCATTATTTTTATCGTTTATCTTTTATTTCTATATTTTCAGCTACAATTTATTTTTCTTTAGGTGCTGTTGAAGTTTTCCGTGTGGTCCAATACTTTTTGCATTCAATTAACAATGATTCATCGAACAATACAAATAATATTTAAATAAATATAGTTTGTTTTATGAATATATTTAAAGTATTTTAGACACAGGTTCCTTCCTAAACAGCCTCTGACAGTTAGTTCACGTCTATTGAGCAAAACTTTTGCTCTTAAAAGAAAAATATAAATTGTATTGAGTTGTGTTGATGACTAAATGTCAGAAAAAAAAAAAGTAATAATAATAATTTTTGATAATAATTATAATATTGCGATAATAATTTCATAATATTGCTTATTCATAGGTACTTGATTTATTATATAACTAATACATTTCTCGTTACGATCTGAATCTAAAATATAATAACAAGTACTTAGGCATTTTAATATAATATGATTACATATTAAAATTAAAATTGTAAATATAATATTATACAATAAGTATAAAAAGAAGGAGCTTTTTTTGTTTTGTTCAATGGTATATATTTTATGTTTGTCCGTTCTAAACGTGTTTTGTTTTACGTATTTTTGATTTTTATTTTTTAAGCAATTATAAAAATCATACAAATTATATTGCTTGAGTGCATTTGTTATTTCTACAATACTTCTCATGATCTGTTAGATTTTTCTCAATATAAAAGTGAGATTAACACATGTTACATACATAGTTTAAAGCATAATGTTTCGTTTTTTATGAACCAACTAATGTCGATAAGTTTTTAATCAAATAATGTTCTATACTTTTTTCTGTAACATAAAATAACTTCTAATTATCTTATTATTCATACTTTCCCCCCGCACAGTTATAAGTTTTAATTTACATGTATTATCTAGAAAAACGATGAATACATTTAGATTTATTAATAATTAATAATGTATAGAAATGCTTTGTTTTTTTTTAGGGATTTTTATAGCTTTATAATAATATAATACCTGCGTATTGCATTAATATGTATACAAATGCTTTGTTTTTTTAGGGATTTTTATAGCTTTATAATAATATAATACCTGCGTTACCGTATATTTGTGTCTAGTATTATTATGCCTATAGTTTCAAATAAATATCTCTCCACGATTCTATTCAATAATGTAGGTAAATTTAAAAATGTTTAATGTGAATTCAATATTCTGAAAAGAAAAATTATAAATACACGTCTTATGTCTTATAAAGTGTTATTAATATAACTGTATCAAGAATCTGTAAACAAATATGTCGAATGTCTAATCGATAATATAATTATGTATAATAATATAAACTAACAAAAACAATATGATATAGCTTTTATTATGATTATTATTTATTATGATTGAGATAATTATTAAGTTAATATTAGTATGTTTATAGGCACATATATTTACCCAAAAATTCTGGAGGGGCTGTGGGAAAGTCTGGGGATCGAATCTAAAGCCTAGTTACGCTTATGCGATCAAGGAANTGGTTACTGTAACCTGATTATTCTTTTTATTAAAGAGTATAGTGAATTTTTGTATCTTTCCATTATTGGTTAGCTAGAGGTTGGTGAGAGAGTTTGCTGATGGTCGGTTATTAGTTAGACGATAAAAAATGTGAAATATCATGTTCATTTTGATACGTATCTATAGCGACAAATTTGTGGTGAAACTTGTTACTTAAAAAAAATTAAGTAAATTTTAATAAATTTTTTGGTATTTACATTAGTTAATGCAGTCATGATGGCAAATTTCTATTGGAAATCTTGTATACTATATGGATGCTACGTGTGTCCATATAATTTTTTTCAAATGTGATCAATTTAATACCCTACTTACTACACCATTATTCCACTATTCACTAATGTGGTCGTGTCACATGCTGCAAAATACACCGCATAGGGTCATAGGCGTAACTAGTCCTTTAACTAGATTCATACGTCCTTCCCCCCCCCGCACAGTTATAAGTTTTAATTTACATGTATTATCTAGAAAAACGATGAATACATTTAGATTTATTAATAATTAATAATGTATAGAAATGCTTTGTTTTTTTTTAGGGATTTTTATAGCTTTATAATAATATAATACCTGCGTTACCGTATATTTGTGTCTAGTATTATTATACCTATAGTTTCAAGTAACTGTATCAAGAATCTGTAAACAAATATGTCGAATGTCTAATCGATAATATAATTATGTATAATAATATAAACTAACAAAAACAATATGATATAGCTTTTATTATGATTATTATTTATTATGATTGAGAATATTATTAAGTTAATATTAGTATGTTTATAGGCACATATATTTACCCAAAAATTCTGGAGGGGCTGTGGGAAAGTCTGGGGATCGAATCTAAAGCCTAGTTACGCTTATGCGGTCAAGGAACATGATATTTATAAATTCATCATAAATAAAATTATTAATTTTTTAAACGAAAACGATGATTTTTCTATTCGGTCAACTATTTTGTACGTGCGCAATTAGTGAGTGTGACACGAAAATATTGACATTATGTTGGAGGTTGTTTTGACCACAGCGTACGGCCGAATCAAATACAATTCCATAGTATGATATGTTTTAAGGTTTTTCAATGATATTTTTTCTCGATTTTGATAGTGTTATGAAATTTTTCAGTACCGAATTTAAAAGTTGATGCCATAACGATTCAGAAACCATATACTAACCGAAATACATTATAACTCTCATGAACTTAATCATTAAACTGTTTACAACGCTAAAACACAAATAAACCTAATTATAATAATAAAAATAATAAATATTAGGTTAATTTAATATTTTCCTTTCTTTCAGTGTGTATTAATTTATTTTAATTGGTTGACTAACTTATCACCAAAAGTTACATTATTGACATTACTTTTTTGTGTTCAATAATTTTAAATTTAATAAACTTTTAAATTTGTTTGCTTTTTATATTATTAAATGATTTAATTACAAATTCTGTTCTTATATCAGTGTGAAGTAATTGGTAATGCAGTTGGTGAATTATGTTTCTGGAGTTTAACTCTTTTTATTATTTCTTCAAAACCTTTAGTAACATTTTTGCAATCTTTTTTTTATAAGAGATTCAGACCAAGTAAATTTAGAAAAAATTTCTGTAACATTGAACATATATAAATAACCTGAATTTTCATCACCATAATTTTTCATTAAAATTAAATCTGCAGCCCACAAATCATCAATACTATATAATTTTATTTTTGAGATTGTTTCTTTTCCTATAAGAGTTTTAATGAATTTACATTTGTTTGTTTTATATTTTAAACATTGTGTTGAAATTCTCTATAGACCACTGTTTGAACCTTGAATGGTTTAAAATTTTTAATTTTCTTTTTGCATTTGTGACAGTGTTTTAGTTCTAAAAATTCGTTGTCCTTATTTATTAAAATAATAAATTAATTTTTCTTTCTTAATAGAATAGTTTTAGATATTTTTTCTAATTGTGTTTTGTGTTATCAGGAAAAGTTCTTGATGTATTTATGGGAAGTTTTCTGATATGATATATATATTATAGGCAAGTGAAAATTTCTCATTTTTCGGATCTAAATTTAATGATTCTTGTGGACAGAGGTCCATCAATTTTCAACTAAAAATTTTTTGTATAACAATGATCAAATACAGAAGCTTTTCTTAATCCTGTTTCTAATCTTGTTATCTAAATTTGTTTGGAAAACTACAATTGCGAATAATGGATAATGATTATTTTTATATCTACTTTACATATTTCTCTTGAATGTTTTACCACTTAAATTGTTTTCATCCATACATTGCCAAGATTTAAAATTTAACCTGTAATTATTTCCTTGAGATAATTTTGTTAATTCCTTTATTAATTTTATTTTATACATTTCTTGATATTCCACTGGTGGGGTCGTAATCTTAAAATCCTCAATAATAACTTTTCCAACAGCTGGTATTGTTGCAGATGTAGAAGCCAATGTGAACAATGCATCATCATCTTTAACTCTCTTAAAATGTTTGAATTGTTAAAGCTATTTTTTCCTATTTTTTACTATTTAAAGAAAATAAAAGTTTTTTTTTTAATAAAGAAATATGAATATTTTTTAAATCAGAGACCTGATTAAAAAAAGATTTAGATATATAAATTAGGTATATTTTTTATAATTTTTAATAAAATTCAAACACAAATATCCACAAATAGGCAGATCATAATAGTCTTGAAATCTTCTAGATGTTATTTTAATATTATTTTCTCCTAAATATTTTACTAATTCTTTTGGTGGATTAGCATAATCATAAGATTCAAAATAAATATTTAAATTTTCATGTTTTATCCATTCAACCCAATGTGATCCTTCTTGATTGGAATTATTTAAATTTAATATTCTACATACATTCGTTAAAATTTCTGTAGGTAATTCATCTCTCATAAAACGTCCTCAAAAATTTTTAATTTTTCAACCAACTTTTATGATATCAAAATTAGTTAATCGATCAATTTTCTTTTTTTTAAGACAGGAAATACTAAGATATTTTTTCTTCTTTTTAATTCCAGATCCAATTTGTAAAGTTTTATCAATTTTTCTATTTCCTTATTATGTCTTTCTTGTTCTTTTTCTGCTGCTATTTTATGTTTTCCTTCTATAATAGGATTTGCAATCAAGCTTATTCACCCTANTCTATTTTCTTTTTTAGATTTGTTTAATTTATTTATTTGTGTTTCATTTAAGTTAAACTTTGGTTTCTGTTCCAATTTGATTGTTTGCAATTTTAATTGTTACAGCTATTTTTTAATATGTATTTTAATACTCTTCAAAATGTACTGTTTTTTGTATTTTATTAGATTTTTATAAGTTTAATCTACTTTTATTTTTTTTCTTAAGATTGTTTTGAATTTGTTCAAGCCTTTGAATGTTTCATGAAACAACATGAAACAAATATTTTTAAAGAAAATACATAAATATTTTACTATAAAATGACTTATATATTGTTAACAAAGCATCACTTTCAACTAAACTTCGCTCAGAATAGTTTTTTCGTAAGCAATGGTTTATTATTGTTTACAGGTATACATTAAATTATCTACAACAGTGGCTACACTCGTCGCCATTGTCCTAGAACGTCTTTTATTATTATTATTTATTTATACTATGTTATTTACACTATTTAATACTTGTATTTTCACCCCTCTCAGTATTTTAAAAGAAAACAATTTCATTATATTATCTGTTCACCCATACCTGCCATAATCATAATAAACTTGAGATTTGCGGCCAATGCTGTTGATACGTTTATACCATTATGTAATTTATACTTAAACATATTACGCTCTGTAAATCCTGCAATGTACCCAACCTTTATGTTGTACATCGCGTATTCGAGGATGAAGATATTTGTACAAATATTTTATAATTCAACATAATGATACTATTATTATTAATTTAAAGAAAGTTAAAGAAAGTATTATAATTTATAACACTTTCTTTTAGATGATTATTATCTTCAGCATATATCAAACAGTGCACTCGGTAAGCCGAATTCAAAATTTACCCATTCATTGGTGTTGTGCTATATACTGGGGTCGTTATCCTATTATATTTGTAACGAAAGCAAATTGAATGACACATTTGCAGAATTGTACATGAATTTCGACAGCTATTAAAGTCTACACGAATCCGCAAATTTCGCGGAGTCGTGTTGCAGTCATATATAAAATAGTTACACCCTGTATGTACACATACTGAACAATATACAATCTATATTGTATTATTATACAATACCCACACTTCACAATAATAAAAATAAAAATCAACTAACTACAGCCAAAGAAATTGATTTAAAAAAATTACGATAAAGAGTAGTATAGTTACCTCCAATAATAGCACTCTAGGGACTAGACGAAATAGAAGTGGAACTAAAATGTACTTAGTTATAAATATATTTATTTATTGTTTCTTAAACAGCGATTATTTATATTAAATGCAAATTCCAAATAATTAGTATGTTATTTATTAATATAACAAATTATATCAAATGAGGTATTAACAATGTATTAAAAAACGAAACTAAAAACAAGTTATAATATCGAAACCAATAATAAGAGTATAATAATTAATTATTATCCCAGAGTTGTAACGGCAATTCTGGTCGGATCGCTATACCATAAAGATTCGGATACGGTTAACATTCCAAATGAATACGTACATCCGGGTTTTAGATTTTTTACCTATAAAACAAATTCATGATGCGGATTCATATATATATATATATATATATATAATTCTAAAATACATGAGTATATATTTATTTTTAACTAAGTATGCAATTAAAAAGACGGATATCTTCATACGACGGGTATGCCACTGTTGTAAGTAAGAAGTTTGGAAGGTAGGATATAGAGGGTCTTTAGGAATTTAGATCTGTAAGCAACAATAAATTATTGCTAACGAAAAATGAATCTGTGGTAAGTTCAGTTATACATGTTTTTAATGGCTGTAATATTTACTTTATTCGCCGAAATTTGGTTTTAAAACTCTTATAAAAAAATTCTACATTCTTCAATTCTCAATTTTATTTTTATCATCAAGTACGAATTATTATCAATCTCCTGTTAAATTTTCAAGCATTTCAGTTTAATCTACCAATTGCATCCACGGAGTAACTACCGAATAAAAGTTACGTAAAAATCTCGCAAATTTAATGTCTACAAATAGGTAAAAAATGATTCAAATATTTTGCAATTATACAAAGACTAGAAAAGGCAAATTTGATTTCACTATTCAAATTTCAAATCTACGAATATTTTTATCCGCTTCTTAAAACAACAAAAATTAAATTAAACTAGTAAAATGAATAATTTTCGTAAATTTTACCCGTTTTTCCTACGTATTTTTTTGTTTTGATCAATTATTAAAAAACTACAAACAAAATCAAAATTGACGTTTTTGCACATCACTTAAATTTAAAATGAAACAATAAAGGTCCTTTGTTTTTTATTTTTATATTGGAACAATATTTTGTATAGAAAATTTAAGTTGTATAAATTTAAAATAAAGGAATCCTATCGCCCTAAATTTCTTGGTTTTAACTTTTTGTCACTTTCCGGTTTTTCTAAATTAAAAACTACAAGAAAAATCAAAAAAAAAAAAACAAAAAATTACTTGCTCAAAAATTAAATTAAAAATTTAACAAAAATGGTCTCTTGTTTTTTTCAGTTTGGGCAGTATTTATGGTAGAAAAATTTAGCTATATACATTTTAAATAATAGCCATAGCACTGTAAGGTTGGAAATATTTCCCATTTTACCTAAAATTGTCTTTTAATTTTTAAACCTTGTTACCTTGATGCACAATAGGCTTTACTGGTTTATTATGATAAAATACGTATAACAATGCATGTTATTGATCTGATAAAATCAAAAAATATGAAGTGGGGAAAGACACTTTATTTTGGTAATTTTATTTCACATACTTTACTTAACATTCAGATATCATTTAATAATTTAATTTTAAGTATAAAATAATATATATATATTATTTATAAAAAGATGTGTTTTTTATTTTGTTAAAATGATAGTATGACATCATACTTATATTTTTTTTCTAGACGTGTATACAATTTTCAAAACTGTTGAGTTATTTATAGAGATATACAATAATTTTGCTAATTTTTTACGTAATTTTTTTATGATACTCTAAAATTTAATAAGAAGTTATTATAAGTAATTATATTAGGTAAAAAACGAATTATACATTACACTCAATTTTATTTGCTTTTTTTAAAATATTAATATCCAATTTTAACGAAAATCGTAAATATTACGGCATTTCAAAACACGTGTAACCGAAATCTGTTTTATATTCTTTTATCTATCTTCCTCTATCTTCTTAACTTATCAATTACAACAGTAACCCACCACATCGTGCGAAGTATATCCGTTTTTTAATGTATGTATTTATCCATTACCGTATAGTTATAAGTAGGTAATTCTTCGTCGATTGGAATTTCTATAATAATTATTGGATTAATATTATCGTTCATGTTTTCATTATCCACAGATGAAATGGCTTCTCCGTTGATAATGAATGTATCTAAAATACTATTGAATATCCATGGAATACCCCACTGCAGAGTAATAGTTGTACTGTCAATGTATTGAGCTTTAAAATTAACCGGAGAACCAGGCTCTGTGAACGAGAAGAATACTAAATACCACAATATTTACAATAAAGCTGAATTTTTATAATTATGTATATTTGTTGGGAAAAAAATTCAAATAATTTTATAAATGGAATTAAAAAAAAAACAACTATAACTATAACTCTAATGCATTATGTCACTGCAATGATTCGAAGATATCAACATTATACATTTTTATTCTTTGGGTAGATATTAAACTCAATACTCATAGTCTATAAGTTCAATACATATTATTCACTTTGTGATATAGATTCACTAAGCGAACTCGTTCCATTTTTTGTATGAGTTAGGTTAGGTTAAACAAATTCTGATTTTTGGAATTTTTAAGTGTAGTTAAAGCTGATTATTTCGATATACCTACAAGGATTTTTTAAAACATTTAAGGAGTATCCTGTAGTGATACCAACTTTGATTTATCAAAAGAGAGCTATATGAGACTCAGACAAGAAAATTTAGGTTCTGAATGTTTACTTCACTCAGAATTAGGCATATTCACATTTTAGATTACAAGTTGACCACGGAACGTAAACATTTTCTTAAAATATGTATTTTTTTCTGTCTATAAGTTTCTACCAAGGATTGGTAAAATCAATATTTAAGAGAAATGGGCTTTTGTTGATATTTTAGATCGTTATTTTAATTTTTGAGAATTCCTAGAAGGTACTTTTTTATAACATAGTTTTCTATAAAAAGTATGTTTAATTGAACCAATATACCTATCTAAAAAACAATATGCCTCGCATGTATTCAAGTGTATCTAAATAATTAATTAATAACATTAAATTAAAGAAAATTGAAAATCATATCGCCCTAAAGTACCTCCCGAGTTAGATTACCTTTAAAAAAAGTGCTATCCTTGTAAATCGTTTTATCATGTAAATATTCAAAATAGAAAAACATATATAATACAAAATTGTATTGATAAAGATCTTAAAATATTTTTTTTTTGTTTTTTTTGGGAATAAACAGACTGCTCTATGATTATTGGTAATCTGTAACTCTGTCAGGTAATGCGTCGATGTCATATCTAAATCCTAAACCCCCATTATTACTTAATTATATTTTATGAAAATCACAATTTAGGATATTAGACCTGATGACAATTTTTTAAAAAAAAAACGAAAGATTAAGTGTTGACATTTCTTAACGGATAACAATTTATAAAAAAGTTTATAAAATATTAAAGAACAAAAAAATTGGTTTGCAGACCGTAAGGGATGTCATGGCATACCTGGCATTACCACAGCGTACGCCTATGCCTAAAACACTGGATGCACTCGTCCCCATATCCTAGGACGTTGATTTTATCATTTTCATGTATTATTTGGGGAGTTTTTGGGGGTTAACATTAAAAGTTAAAATTGGAACCTAAATTAAAAATTGCATAAATTGATAAAGTAATAGTTGCAATAAATTTCAGTGTTGAAATTTTTAATTGGGTTCCGTCAACCCGTTGACGAGATATTCAACTTTTTAGATTATGTAGAAGAATAATAGTGGAGCACTAATAAAACGCTGCGCACCCTGCCACAACATAAATTATAAGCCACTACTCTTCCCCTACCTGAAATAAAAATAAAATATTAAGTGAACGAATTGATGGAAATCAAAAATGTTGGCACCAAAATGTATTTAAAATAAAACTAATCCATCTATTTATAGAATTTTTAATAGAAATTCTCACTTGAAAAATCAAAGTTTTTATCGCCAATCAACATAAAATATTCTTTAAATGATAAAAATATGTATAAGTATATCGAAAAAATCGGCTTTCAATACACTTAAACATTCCAAAAATAGAATTCGAATATAAAAATAACTAAAAAATGAGGTAAGCGCGCTTAGTGAATAATTTTTACATTTTTTCAATACAATAATGTTCAAATTCCTTTGGATTGAATTTTTTTTCTCTCACATCTTCACAGATTGAAAATTGGAATATTTTATATTTCTTATTTCTTTTTCCAGCTTGATTCCTTGAATTCCAAATCATCGAGGACATACGTAGAGAGTGTCCCAAAAGGTTAGGGGAAAACCGAATACAGCGCTGGTTAGCTGGAAGTGTCTATTATGTCAGTACAAAATTGGGTTTTTGTTGGTGCATTAGTATTTTTTCTGTAGCGTTTAGAAACGAACATGTTTTTTTCTCTTGCCGAAAACGATGTGTGACGAAAAACATGATCAACGGATAAACGTAAAATTTTCTCGTTAAACTAAAAAAAAAACTCCAACTGAGTGCTATAAGTTGTTAAAAGAGGCCTATANGAGAGTGCACCGGAATCCAATTCAGTCGTAATCCAAATTCAAAACCGTTTTCTTCGATATCAACGGTATTGTGATGACTGAATGGGTTCCAGAGGGTCAAACTGTGAACCAACATTACTATTTGACAGTTTTGGCAACATTGCGCGAATGAGTTCGTAAGAAACGGTCGATAACCCATAACGATGCCCATAACGCGCTGTCTGTGAAGCGTTATTTGGCCGCTTAAGGCACTCCAGTACTCGAACACGAGTCTTACTCACCCGACTTGGCACCCTGCGACTTTTACTTGTTTCCGAAGATAAAGTCTACCTTAAAAGGAATCCGGTTTGAGTCGATGGAGTCGATGAGTCTTACGAAAACAGACTTCCAGCACTGCCTCGAGCTATGGAAGAAACGAATGAAACGGTGTGTGAGGAAGGGAGGAGAGTATATTGAAGGGGAACATTTGGTTGTGGAATAATTTTTAAAATAAAACCATTTTTCATAAATCGTTATTTAATAGCCAGAACTCATAGTGTAAATATCATTTAACTTACGTCCGTCTTCAACGTTGAAAGAAATCGATGAAACAACACCACCATTTGGATAATCATATGACTTAGGAGTTATCTATAATATTTTAAAAATCTTTTAATAAACAATGTATTTCGTACGATCCAAATAATTGAATACTCGTGGAAATTTATTATGCACGTACTTTGAATGTATAAGTTTTATCATAGTCCTTATTAAAATTTAAATTATAGAATGTATGACAGTAGTATTCTGGCCAAGCAGGACATTTAATTGGTAGAATGAAAGATGTATTTGTTAAGTTTTCATTAAATGAAACTATGAATCCATTCAAATTTGTATTTTCTGACAAAAAGCTCCAACGAAATCCTACTACCCCACTTTTCGCACTCTTTTTATAAACCATTAAATCATCAACTGGCTTCAAATCTATAATTATCATATAGACCATATAGAAATAATATTTTTATAGTTTCATACAAATATACAATATATTTTGGTTAACCTACTCATAAGTTTAGTAGTAAAATTGACACGTAAAAATTGCTCAGGGTTATAACCGACATGTGTTTTTATAAAAACTTTCATTTCGTAGGTAGTATTCGAATTGAGATTATCGAAAGAAATAATATTTTGTTTCGTCTCTTTTGTTTTTAAAATATTACTACTCGTATCCTTAAAAAAAAAAAAAAAATGATTTGGATATTATATAGTAAAGAAATAATTGTGTGTACTTTTATTTATAAAAAAACCTTTAATTCTATATAATATCCCAATAAGAATCCGTTCAGCTTTGTACAATCTATAGAATCGGCATTCCACTTAACGTTTACCGAGCTATTCGTCACTGATATTGGAGAGTTTATATCGATTTCAGGTTTTATTTGTGGATCTAAAGGGCAAATATTTATATTATATAGTAAATAACAATGTGTGACTGTAGGAGAGTTTGATAATATATTATTTTACTTGACGGTGGTGTATAAACATACACCGTATTTTCTTTTTGAACTGAATTGAGAACTCCGACTTTAATATAGTATTGTGAATGAGGTACAGCACCGAATATGTCATAACTTGTTTGGTTGTAAATTTGTATTGATGTCCAATTATCGTTCTTTATTTCATTTAGAGAACAACTGAATATTCTATTGAGCTAAAATATTGTATAAGCGTGGATTTAATTTATAGAATATATGTGACCAAAAGTCGTATTAAAGTCGATTATCAACGTGTATTCTTTTGTTAAAATATTTAGGTTGTTTTAAGTTTAGCTAAATAATCTGTAATATAAATATTATCACCCTATATTTGGATAAATTCATATCTACTAAATTAGTATAATAAATTATTTATAATTAACCGAACGACATTGTAATTATTTTATTTAAATAACTTGCATAAGTATTTCATATTGGAATGAAGAAGTATTTGACATAATAAAATACATTTACTCGTAAGTATAAGCACCACATGGTCATAACTTCAAAAGGGGTTTAAATGTTTGAATTCATAATATATAATAATTGTAAATTAATCGAACATAGTTTTCATTCGAAATATTTACTAATTATTGTTGAACGAGTTAGATAAGTAAAAGTAGGTAGGTAACTAATATTATTTAAATTTAATAAAATTACTTTGTAACTGACAACGCATGTTACTGGGTTTTTAACCAACGTATTGAATGGATAAACTGAAGATCCTAATTTCCACGATACTTTTATTTTATCATTGTTGATGCTAGTGACAATATCAATTATTTTCATTTCTGACTCTATAAATTTAAAATTAATTAAAAAATAAAGAAAAAAAACGTTTATATTGACATATAAGTTAATTTAATTAAAACTAATATTTACCCGGCATAAATGGACTAAATGAATAAGTAGATGATGGCTGTAAGGAACCTAAAGAAGTTTTAGGAGTCATTGAAACGGTGTATCGATATCCAGGATAGAGATCGTTTATTACGTGTCCACTGTCTGAACTTGATAATATTTCTTGAATATCAGAGATTCCATTTTTCGATTGATTTAACGTTAACGTCAAAACATATTCACGAACTTCGCATTCAAGTCGTTTAGTAATTATCTGGAAATTAAAAATGTTTATTTAAGTATACCTAATACGTAACAATGATGTTTTACAGTATATTTACAGTTTTAAAACGGTAAATTAACAATTAATAATTACAATAAAAAAAACACTTACTTTATTCCACGTTATATGGACGCTTTTTACTTCGGGTATTACTTTAATGCCGTAATCGTTTNTCAGGGAAAACCACAGAGAAAATCGAAATATGACTGCCAAAAATACCTTTCCAGTCGGATTTCCATTTAGAAAATCTGCTATCATTATAAATTGAAACAGAAAGACTAGTAGAGAAGTTTGCACACAAAAAAAAATCGTTATATTCAAATTAATACCTTTGTGTCTTATATTTTCCGTTTTTTCGGTTTTTTAAATTTGATAAAAAAAAATTAAGAAATCGAAAAATGAACTTCTTAAAGTACCTCCCCACAACGATTTTTTTCCTGAAAAGGTGCTACAATTTAACACCAGAACAAGATATTTGGTTAAAAGTTGTGCAAAGAAATGAAAAATAAATAAACATCTTTGTAAAACTATAAATCTCTTCTTTCTAATCAGCATATAAAAGCACAAAAAATACTTCAAATAAGTACCAAATAGCAGAATATGATAAGCAACAAATGCATGTGGAGCATGAGCAAATGATAAATTTAATAAGAAATTTAATAGAAGCCACTAGGCAGTAATTAGACAGTAATTTATGCTTACACGCACTTAATTATAATATTACATAAAAATAAGTTAAATTATTTTTAAAACAAAACTGTCCAATAAAGTAGACGGGTGCGGTCACTGTTGTAAGTGGCAATTTAAGGAGATAGGGTACAGAAAGGAATTTAATGTACATTTGTAAGCAAAAATAAACCATTGCCAACGAATTAAACGATTCTTAGCAGGTTTTAATTCATATTAGTGCTTTTTTCAAAAATATATGTGTCAGTATCATGATAAAATAAAATACTTAAATAATAATTATAAATTTTCTTTAATAATTTTTGTTTAATATTGATCCTATTCTCCCAGTTTTCCCATGTTATTCCAGGTTTTTCAAATTTTATTAAAAATCTAAAATAAACTTCCCTATAATACTTCCCCCCCACACCAATTTCAATTCTGAAAAAGTGCTCCACTTGAAAATCAGAGAAAAATCTCTGGTAGAAAAATTGTCCACTGAAAATATATCATCCACATCACAACTTTCGTGGACGCTTTTGTATTACGTTATGATTAATATAGGCAATTTACGCGTATAATATAAATTCAAGAACCTGCGTACTTAATAAAAGTTTTTATTCTATTTTCAACTGTATTTAATTGAATTTGTTTCTACGTCTATTCGGATTACTTACGTATACACATTGTTCTATAGTGACCGTACACGATATCCTGATCGTTTAAGTTCCCGTCATTTGTTATAACCAAAACTCCAATTTTATATAAACTGTCCGGTTTTAAATCGCTTAAAATTTCAGTGGAGCCGTTATTATTTTCGCTTATTCCCTTTGGTTCGGAATTGGTAAACTTATCTTCATTCAATAACTTAAAACATTAATGTAAGAAAACATAATATTATAAAATTAGTTTCTTGTAATCCTGTTTTCGTGCGTGCCAACATTAAATACTTTATCGTTTTGAGCTATGATAAAATTACAATTTATTCAATGCAAATTGTGGTGGTTAGTACAGCACATTTCAAATAATAATAATAGTTCAAATATCTATACGGAAAGTACCCGCAATGGCGTATATAGAAATTAATTTTGGGTGGGGGGGGTGAGTTTTAAAAAAACGAGTTTATTTAATTAATATAATAAACTAACTTTATTTTAACAATTATAGATTTAAACAAGTATAACATATAGGTAAATAAATATATATATATATATATATATGTATACATAAATAAAATTAAAAAAACAAAATCTAATTTTTGAGGGAGATTGGCAAAAGAAGTGATTAACTTCTTGAGTGTCTATTCAAATACTTTGATGAGTTTACATGAGGGCTAATCCTGTTGGTCGATTTTCGCTTGTACCAACTATTTCTCAAGTACGATTTCAATCTTTTAAACGTCGAAAAGTATCTTACTGATGACACTGTTGAAAACGGTAAAGTTACTTATATTAACGTCATAAACCATAATATATTTGGAAAAAACGACACGCAGCGGTGCGCCGTTATCTAATCTTACTTCATACCCGACTATAATAATAATATTTATATCTATTACGACTTAAACGCTTTAATATAATATATTCACATACATTTTCATAAATACCAATGTGTGCCATACGCCTATATCAACCATACATTTTAGGGGAAGGGTTGAACCCCAAAATCCTCCCCTATATACGCCTCTGATTACCTGTATATCAATATTAATCCTGATTTTTTTTTTTTAATAGAAGCATATGCGTTTTTATAAGAAATTGTTATAGAATACACGGTGATTTTTTCCTAGTACAATATTATAAACTTATAATGAATCATTTGAACAAATTTAAAGACAATTACTTTTAAGTTTATTTCGATCGAGCACATGTATAATTTTCAATTAATTTTTATTTCCAATTCTGTTACCTACTTTAAGTATTTAACAACTTTTGATTATAGCATTTACATGAAACATTTTAATGTTTTTTTATTTCAGATTAGGAGAATAATTTGTTTTTATGAATACTTAGTTAATGTCGTTAAAGAAGGAAATATACGTGTTTTCCCTTTTTCATTAATGTTCTTTAGCGAACTTGAATAAAAGGATATAATACAAATTTATTATATTTTTAAATACAACAAATGTGTTCATCATAGTTATAAATAATTTAATAAGTGATAATAAAAATTAGTTCATACAATTGACAATCATAATTCAATCAATAGTCATAGCTACTATAAAAAGATAGTATTCTTTAATAATATATACTCGTATTAATACATAGGTAGTGAATGGCACAGCATAGTCATTAATGAAAATTAATTTAACATAATTAATATTATTTCTAAAAGCTTACCTTATAAATTAATTGATAATATTTCAGTTTTAGATTTTTATCTCCGCCAATATTAGTTGAATGAAAATTCAGATTTACCTCTATTGACTCAAACGTATTTGAAATTATTGTCGGTGGTTTAATTAGGTATGGATATCCTAAATAATGAAAAATTCTTTACTATACAGCACATATTAGACCAACATTAGGAAATTTGAAACAAATTATATAGAAATACAATTAAAAATCCCAAGTCCATATACGATAATTTATTTGTAATTTTAATTACAATGAAAAAGGAATTAAATTCGGATTTACATAATCAAAAGTGTCAAAGTGAAACAAGGATCCTATATTCATAATAAAAATTTTGATAATATACTTATACTATTAGTGACAAATGACAACTGACATTTTAAACATTTATATTAATTTTTCATAGAATAAATATAAATTATTTAGACAATATATTTGAGAATATATTATAGAAAAATTCTTAAATAACTTTAAGGATGTGAATTTAGGAAAAAAAGTTATTAAAAATTCCTCAAAATTGTTGGTTGAAAATTTGTGCACAGAAAAAAAGTAATATTTTAGTAAATATTCCATACATTTTCCATTAACAACCCTATATACCAGCTTGTATTATTCATACTATAGATAAACAGCTATACAGGATCCTTCACATAAATATACTCATTTTCTATTACCAGGATATTTCTTGAGATAATAAAGATAATCAAGTTCTATTGTTTTTATATTACGCATTAGAATAAGGACTACAAATATTTATATTTTAGTTAAATTTGTATGTTTTGGTAAAAAAAGTAAAAAAAATAACTCCGTTTTATTATTTTCGAAAAATTTGAAGAATCATAATATAGAATTTATTCTTCTGAAAGTATTGACGTTTCAATTTTTTATTTTCATTTTTAAGTTCATGATTTTTAATGATTGTTTAAAGTTCAAATAATAGTACCTATAACTATACGACAGGCTGCAATCCTATCCGCTAATTGATTACTATTATTATTATGCTAATTAACTTTACACTTTTAGATTCTAGAGTGAAGCGAAGAAGGTTATGGTTTTATAAAGATATTTATTTTTTTTCTATCTCTGCAACTTTTCTATCTGAAATCTTGCACCGATTTTTAGGTGCAGTAACTTTTCTAAAAATAAATCGGACTGAGGAGATACTTTAAGGAAGTCATTTTTCGATTTTCCGAAAAAATGAGAAAAGCCGGAAAAAATGGAAGAAAACAAGAAAAAGTAGGAAATGTATTAGAAACATATTACGGCCTTTTTTTTTCTGTGGACACCTTTACTACCAGCAATTTAGCTTCAATTTACAATGATAATAATGATAATGATGATTTTTTTGAAAGGAAATCTTACTGGAAAGGTATTTTAGAGAAGTCATTTTTGATTTTCTTAAGATTTTTCTCAACAAATGTGAAACACAGAAAAAAACATTGGAACAACATAGGAAAAACAGTAAAATCGGTACATAAAACAAATATTATTAAAGAAAATATAATGTCTATTTAACTATTTTACCATAATGTGAAATATATATATTGTTGACAAAACATCACTATCAACTGAACTCCGCTCAGAATCGTTTTTTCTTTAGCAATGGTTTATCGTTGCTTACAAGTGTAAATTAAATTACCAATTAAAATTGTTGCACCCGACCCCATTATCTTAGGACAGCTTTTTTTTCTCTGAACTTTAAACAATTATTAAAAATCATGAATTTAATGAAAATAAAAAGTTGATCTGTCTGAATATACACATTTTTCAAAAATAATAAAATAAAAAGTTATTCTTTAGTTTTTTTGTCAAAACATAAACAATTAATTGAAATATAAATAAATGTAGTCCTCGTCCTTGCAAGTATTATGAAAAAACAGAATTTAACTATCTTTATTATCTCCGGAAATATTACAATGGGTATATCTTCGTGGGACACTGTATAATAAAAACTTAGTTGAATTTAAAATAATGTTGATTTAAAAATATTATTTCATTATATTTTGTATTCACTCTTATTACCATCCGGGGCTTCACCATTGAAATAACTTATATGGGATTCGTTTACATGTTTAAGCTCTGCAAGTAAAACATATTTGGAAAAATTATTATAAATTGTACTTTTTAAAATCGAATTAATTGAATAAATAAAAAGTGCATGTACTCTAAAGTGTATAAAATGCAAGGAATTTCACTCACCATATCTTTCTGCTGCTGTTGGAAATGACACTGATATAATAATGTTCAAAATAATAATATTATAATTCATTTTGCACCACACTATTTTTCAAATGAGAACACACCAGGCGGCAGACAACAACTGATCAAAATTTGCGCATGTGTGTCCCATTTACCGCAGTTCAACCGTCGTCGTTTACATCACCATATATACGTAGTGAGCTGTATTAATACAACATTTAACGGCCGTTCGTACGTGTTCCACTGCCGATAATGATGAGCAAAGTGGTACGTTCTCATGTGAAATATAGTAAAGTATAATATATCATATTTTAATAATGAGTATAATGATTATATAGGTTAATATGTGTGAAAATAAAATAATATTCTGTATTTTATATTCAATACCATACTGTGATTTTTTGAGAATTCAACTTTACTCATGAATATGTCAATATTTAAATACCTTATACATCTATATAACCACTAAATCACTTTTTGTATAATATAATAAATAACATAGGTATGTTTTTTTATGAGCCAGCTCATTGCGAGTGTCTTGCACATCGTCCCTTATGCTTCTCGTATAAGAACGGGGTACTGTTTATGAGTAGACTACTGACGTGTGTGAAGTTGGCTCCACTATGAGATGATAATTACATTAAAATAGTACCAATATTTTGCAACTAATTTGCAACTTTAGGCAACCGATACAAAAAAAATTACAACCTTATATTTTCTCCTTAATAGCTAAACCAAATTTTTTTAGCATTTTTGAAAAACTAAACATTTTTATCTTCATAACACTAAATGAAAATTAAAAAAAAATAGAAATAGGTATCTATAAATAATTCCAAAACCACCAAAATAGTGCATTTTTTAAACTGATAAACTAGGTGACACACAAATATCGCCCATTGAAATTAATTTGTCACCTAATTGATTGTGTTTTTAAAGACTGGGTAACACTCAATAATTTCCATAAGACAAATTTTTAAAATAATGAATGATGCATAAAATTGTACACATTTTTCGGTCAGTTACATTAGAACCCACAACTTGAAATGTCGTTTTTCCACTAACAATTGTTATTCTATTTGTACACATTTGTAATCACAAATACCGAATTTGTATACCACTGAAAACCCGTAAAAATCGATATTTACTGTAGTGGTGCTAATGTAACGTTACACCAGAATGGTTCTGTGATTAGCCAATACACTGGGAACACTTTCAAAGCTAATAAACAATGAAAAACATATAATGACACACGGCTTAAAGTACAAAACACAAACATAGCAAATACAACAGATGTATAGTTAATAATTTTTACTATTTAATAATTTGTACCTAGTAAATTTTAATTTATCAAAAAAACACCTACATTTCATGTTAATAGATCATAGTAAAATTAAATTTTAAAAAATGTATATTTTATAGTCTAACAAACTTAACAACTTAATAATAATTCGTCTTAATGCTTTTGATAATTCATCAAGTACACCGTCTGTTGAGATTTCAATATCCCGATAAATATTTAGCATTTCTAATCCTGAGATTCTCCGGTTGCATTTCGTAGGTAGGTTTTGAGACGGCAAAGAGTCGAAAAAGTTTTTTAAGGGGTGGCCGTCGCCACTAGTAAAGTAATAAAAATTAGTTTTCGTACAATAGGAAATATATTTTTAATCACATACACATAAAGCATTGAATGAGTATTTTTAAGATTTTAATTTATTTGTCTTAGATACTTCCACCATAATTTAAGTTCCGATAATTTCTTGTTTATTTATTTACTTAGTTATAACGGTGTTCCAAATTTACAATTTGAGTCTCGAATTGTTGAATGAATTCTAAATTATTTATTTTTTATGGCAAAAGACATTAAAAACTTGACAAAATTTGTTTATGATTTCACAAACGTCTTTAAATTTAGATAATTAAGAAATCTAAAAATGAAATGAATAGTAGTGAAATACGAACATATACTTCATGTGAATCTGTTTCAATATTACTACAGTGTACTTACCTACCAACTTTTTGTGGAATATTAAAATCACCATCCCAATCAGAACATGTTTTTCGAACAACTATGAAAATATAATTAAATTCTTTTTCACTATCATTTCGCATTTTAAGTAAAAAATGTTTAATATTAATTATAAGAGACATCACAATTTTGTAATAAACTACTCAAGGGAGAAGTTGTACCAAAAATCTTGACGGTAGTACGGAAGGATATGTGGAATTCAACATTCTGGATTGCAGATAATATTTGTAACGCTGTAGAACAAGTAGTTATATATTTCCACAAAGAAATAGTTTCAAGAGAAATTGTAACAGCATTTTGAAGTTTTAAGAAAATTAAAATCTATTCATGTCACTGAACCCCTCTTGTGGGACATACATTTTTAAGTCTAGTGGCTTTTGTATTTGTTTCTACATTTGTGATTGTAAGTAAAAGAACTTCTTGTCATTTATTAAGAGTGTTATAAAAATTGTATTAAGTTCCAAGTACATCTATACAATTCCAAATACTTTGAAGATCATAACTGTCAGAAATAGCCAAGTTAAGACTATGAGAGGCACAGGGGGCATACATAGCCATATCATTATTTTTTCTAACATGTACTTGTGCGTCATTAAAACAACCACTCATAACCGTAGCCCTGTCATATCCCTGGCCAACCGTAAAAGAACAATCTATACCAAGATTTATTCGATTGTCTAATAGAATTTGAGCTTTCTCCCATTGAGCTAATTACAAGGACAAATTTCAAAAAATCTCCATGTAGTTTTAAAGTATTATTTTCTATATACCGAACACGTAAAGAAAATTATGCTTTACATGAAATAACAGTTATTTCATCTGCTAATATATAGCATATCACGGCAACATTTATCTTAGAAACAATTGAATTAACCATTATGTATTATTACAGCAATTAATAATTTTATTCTGGATTCTGGGACTAATATGTGTTGCATTAAGTGATGATGTAGATAAATGTTTTTTAGATTCTAAATGGAGCGAAGCTTATGATTTTACAAAAATGTTTATTTTTTTTTTATTTGTACGCAACTTTTCTACCGGAAAACTTGCTCCAACTTCTTTGTTGGAAAAACTTGTTCATGACTTCAATTTCTATCAAATATTGCATTTCATCTTATACGCAAATAAAAAAACTATTGGAAAATGGCAAAAAACAAGCTACTCAACCAACTCTAGAACGTATCCGATCCATCAGTTTCTGGATAATTTCCCCCAATCTAGACTTAAGGAAGATATTTTAGGAAGGTAATTTTTTTGATTTTCTCATGAGTTTTCTAATCAAATTTGAAAACCAAAAAAGAAAAACGTTTGGTACAATATTAAATAAATTTTATTAAAATAATATATAAAGCCTATTTAATTTTTTTTTATATATTATTGACAAAGCATCACTTTCAACTGAACTACGCTCATTTTTTTCATAAGGAATTGCGTACAGATATTCATTAAATTCCCGTCTGTATCCTACCTTTTCAAATTCCCACCTACAACAGTGTCTACACCCGTCCCCATTATCTTACCTTTTTTTGTTTACTATATTGTTGGATTTACAAATTACTATATATTTGGCAGCGTTGCGTGGAACCATAAAAACTAAGCGTTTTCTATCGTAATATTCAAAACTGAATCAACGATAATGACCGTTCTCAATCGTATTTCTACCAGTTAAAACAATAAAAAAATGTACACGTGGTTCATCGTGATCTATAATACCGAGGTTATAAAAACGAAAGAAAAGTTAAGCGTAATGAAGGAGTTTATTTTGTTAAATGTTTTAAGTTAACGTTTCTACAAAAATCGTGAAACCATAGTATTTGATGCATGTTTAGTCGAACTACAATCAGATTCGTTTATTATTAACAATGATTTATGAATTTAGGTCACATTAAAATTTTTAGAAACTATAATACCTTTTACAAAATCACTATTTTTTAAATTTAAAATAGTGATTAAGAAATGAAAATAAAAACTATATTTTCTTTAAAATGTGTTTCCCACGCACAAAACCCATTAAAAAAAAAAAAATGTAAAAAAATAATGAATATTGACAGAATTATAAGCATAAGGATAACACTGTAAGACACCTTGTATATTATTATTCTAACTTAATTCAATCGTGACTTAAATTATTTTTGTTAATTAGCAATTTAAAAAACATTTTTAGTCTGTTGAAGGTAAATTGCCCATTATCTATAATTAACCTATTATTTTTTTAAATAATAACATAGGCAGGACAATATAGTACATAATGATCTAGCAACAGCAATGTCCATAGTAAGCATTGTTAACTAACTAGCTAGTATCTTGCATGATTATGAATTGATCACTACTCGAATATGGGAGGTGGAATATATTTCGCCAAGATCGATGTTTTCCTCAAATTTTGTAATACTATACAAGCAGTCAACATAACATAAGAATTTCATTATCTCGGAAAATATAAACTTTATTCACAGTTTATTTTTTAAAACATTTAAAAACAGGAAACTCTATAAACAGGCAAGGAATCAATAAATATTCCATTATACGCAATACGCATCATATATGAACCAAGGTCCTGAATAATATTTAGTATTAATTAATTTATCATTCACCAATTATTTTTAAAACGTTTTTTCTGTCTCCTGAATAGATTTAAAATGGAGTTGGCATAATTTTTTAGGTGTTTGTCAATGGCCATGATAATAGTAACATTATATATTTTTTGACGAAGTTATCATTTTTTTGCTCAGTGAAATTGTAGATGCATATTATACAAAAAAACATGTATAGATTTTTTTTCATTCGATTACGATATTATATCATCATAATTATTTAAATAATAAAAATACTTTTTATTTTAAGTGAATGATAACATATAAAATTATAGTTTTAGATTCTGAGTAAAGAAAAGAATGTATATTGGTTTTACAATGATGTTAATTTGTTTAATATTTTTTTTTTTATTATTATACTGGAACAAATATAATTAACCAGAAATCTTGCTTCAATACGTACCTAAGTATGGCACCCATTTCTAAAAGGATATATGCCTATACGGTACTTTAGGGAGATCATTTTTAATTTTCCATGTGATTTTCTTAATATCTGTGAAAATCCGAGATAAAACTATGAAAAACGGGAAAATTTACAAAAAATAATGCTTTTATTATTTCTAATTTTGTTGTAATTTAGTAATTTCTTTTCTAGACATGATAAAATTTTTAAACAATTTTAGCAATTTTTTAGCTATTTATAAACATTTTGATTTTGCGAGATTTGTACATAATTTTTATTCAGTATGTACTCTGTGGATAAAATTACTAGACTAAACAGATATGTTTAAAAATGTAACAGGAGGTTCATTAAAATTCTTACTTTGTGGTGAACAAATTTGAGCTTAATGTAGTATTTTTATTTTTATAAAGGAATTTTAATGTCAAATTTTGACGAAAATCGTCCGAGTAAAAAATTATATGGAACAAATCTAGTTACTGGTTCATGCAAATTTTTAATTTTTTTGTTTTTTGTTTTAAACATATGTATATTTTAGATTTGAGAACGATGGTGGAGTCAGAATTAAGTGGACTGACTCATTTATAGTTTCAAAATCATAGCTTTTTAAAGTTTAGATATTATGCGAATATTATATGTGCTATGTTGAATAACTCGATATTGTCAATTGTATAGTATTATATCTGTCGTAATCTAGTAGGGGTACGTATTTGGTGTCATCCCAGAGATCGCAAGTTCAAACCCGACTATCGAACCGAAATATTTTTTTGATAAAACACAAATACAAAAATAAAAACAAAAACAAATGCATTTTAGGTGCACCCAAGCCGTCGCAATAAGACATATATTGATGAAAAATAACACTATAAATTAAACTTCGCTCAGAATCGTTTTTTCGTTAGCAATGTTTTATCATTGATTACAGATATACATTTAATTCTCTTGTGTATCCTACCTTCCCAACTTTCCAGTCAACAACATATTTTTTTTTGCATCTAAATATCCGTCACGTCCATATGACGTCGTTAAGATGACCACGTATTAAATTATTTAAAATTCTGTAATTATAAAATTTCTTATATGCTTATGACTATAGTTATTATAAGTTTTATAAACGTAAAACGTCTAAGTATTGTAACGTGTAGGCAAAGGCGTACAGATCAGGTGGACAAATGCCACGGGTCCATGATATTTAGGGACCTTAAGTCAAGGTCCAAGACAGTATTAGACATGTGAGAGTCTGTTTTTAATGCCTTATCATGCTCTTTACACAATATTTTACCACGAGCATTAGATGTTCTAGTTATCTACGTCACTGCATGTATAGGTATGTAAGATGTAACGTAACTAACGTCTAATTTTTTAAATGAACACACTAACACAATACACTGATATTTTAAATATAATTAAAACTACGCAATGGTGAGCGGTCAGCAGTCTGAAATAAAAATTACTAATGCATAAATAATGTAATTATGATGATAAATCAAAATTATTTATTCAACAATTAAAAAAATATTTATTAATATATGATTATGGCCTTTTTTTTTATCCCTTGGAATTACTTATCTACCAACAGTTTTGATCCAATTCACTGACTGGTGTAGTACTTTAGTGAGGTCGTTTTTTTATTTTCCTAGTAGTTTTCCCAATAAATAGGAAAATAATGGAGGAAAACGGGAAAATAGGTACAATATTAAACAAATATTAATTTAATGGAAATATTATATAATGCATATGTATAATTACTTTACTATAATATAACATATATATTGTTAACATAGCAACATTATTAACCGAACACCGTTTAGAATCGTTTTTCGTTAGCAATAGTTAATCGTTGCTTACCAACATACATTCAATTTTCCCTCTACTTTTCCAACTTCTAACCTACAACAGTGGCTAACTCACGTGTGTGACACTATGTCTGTCTTTTTTAAGTTTAGTTCACAGTGTAGCTCATAATGAAATTCTCGTATACATTTAATTTATAAAATAATATAAAAAAAAATGTATTAAATAACAATCAAATTTCGTGGCTTTAAATGAATACGAGTACATTTAAATTTAAACTTTAATGTTATTATGATCTTATTTTATTAATTGTGGCTAAAAATACAGCTGCTGATCCTTATTTATTGATAATATTTCAAAGAACAATGTATCGAAATAGTAAATAATACAAAAACTAAGTGTTTAAATTGATTACATTATTTTTTATACATATATTTTAACAATTTATTTTAGATGATCATTATTTTCAGCATACGCCAAGCAGTGCACTTCCTTATGTAAGTACCTCCAATCCTTTTTTCCCAAACATGTCTAACTGTGTACGAACTTTGTGGTGCGTCAAATTCCTAATTCGCCAATTCATTGATGTTGTGTCATACACTGGAGTCGTTATCCTACTACATTTTTAACGAGAACAAACGAATTGAATGGCAAATTTACGGAATCGTGCATATATTTCGATAACTATTAAAACCTACACGAATCTGCAAATTTTGCGTAGTCGTGTTGCATCAAGTATGTTGGTGTATTTCTAATAATATTCTAAATGGCTAAAAACCCTTTGACACATGTAATATAGGTATATAATATATTATAATATGAAGAATATGTATGGTAACAAAATGTACGATAGTAAACAATCTATTTATATTTATACTATATAATATATAATGTATACTATATTATTATACAAAAAACCCACATTTTACAATAATAAAATTCAATTAACTACGAAATTTACAGCCAAATAAATTGTTTTAAAAATATTACGATAAAAATTGGTATGATTACCTCCAATAAAAAGGCCTATTTTTGTGTGTTATAATACGCCACATTGTGCGTAATTATAAAATGTATAATATTATACAAAAATATTTCTAAACTATGTTTTGTTGTTGGAATATTTTTTTAATTATTTAGCAAATTTATAATAAGTATACCAAAGAGATTTGATCACATACAAAGTACTTTAAAATTGGTTGTTTATTATTATAATGTTTTAAAACTTGTTTTCTTAATGCTTGTTATAATTAGTTTACTGACTTAGAATAAGGAATTAAACCCAGAAGAATGTAATTTAAACAAATTTGTTGAAAGAATAATGTATGAATAAAGTCGAAACTAGTATATATTATGTAATATTTTTTTTAAGTTTACTTCTTACAATACCCTTACATTTCTCCTTGATAAAGTTTAAACCGGAAAATATTTGTTTAAAAAAAAAAATTGTAAACAACTATAAATGCTAGACGAATTATTGAAATAACTGTAATTAATTAATTTTGGAGACAAATTTTATTTTGTGACCATGAATTTATGGTTTAAACTAAAAAGTGTGTAATACGAAATATTACAAAATATATTCCCTGTCCAATAATCACACACTAGGGCAGAGATTCTTAAACTTTTAATTTCGCGTACCACTTATAAGTATTATGGATTTGTCACGTACCACGTAAAGCTGAAAACTGAACAATTCATAATGTTTTTTAAATTTGTTTCAAAACGATAAGAATATATGACAATAAAATACTTCAATATAATATTTATGTAAAATATAGTATTAGATTCATTAAAAAACATTTGTACGAATATTGATTAATTAATCTTCTGTACTGTTACCTTGTGACTTGCTACCACAGTTTGTGAACCACTGCTCTAGAGATTAGAAGAAATAGACGTTAGATTATAATGTACATAGTTATAAATATATTTATTTCTTGTTTCTTCAATATCGATTACTCATATTGAATACAAATTCCAAATGATAATTAGTATGTTATGTATTAATATGTAATATCAAATGAGGTATTAACAATGTATTAGAAAACGAAGCTAAAAACAGAAGCTATAATATCGAAACGAATTATAGTAATAAGAGTAATAAGACTAATATGACTAATAAGAGTATAATAATTAATTATTATCTCAGTGTTGTAACGGAAATTCTGGCCGGAACACTATACCATAAAGATTTGGATACGGCCAACACTCCAAATGTATACGTATATCCGGGTTTTAGATTTGTTACCTATAAAACAAATTCATGATTAATAGGATGTAATTTATTTATTTTTAACCAAATATGCAATTAAAAAGACGGATATACTTTGTATAACGGTTAAGTCACTGTTATAGGTAAGATGGTTGGAAGGTAGGATAAAGAGAGGAATTTAATTTACATCTGTACACAACAATAAACCAGTAGTGCACGCAGCATTTTTTTTCGGAAGGTGATTTGTTTACAATAATTTTCTTGAGAGGAAATAGCACATATTAGTATATATATATTAGTACAGTACTATCACTATTATAACTGAATAAATTATTTTTGATGAAATTAAATTTTATTTTGTTCTATGATATAAAATACCGGTATTATGTTGATAAATGTAAAATTTGAGTAATAAAATGTAGTGAAGGAAGATATTTCGAAGGGGTTTTTAGCCCCTGACCTCCCCCCCCCTCAGTGTGCGCCACTTTAATAAACTATTGCTAACGAAAAATGATTCTGAGCAAAGTTTGATTACACATGTTTTTAATGACTGTAAAATTTACGATATTTGCCAAAATTTGGTTTTAAAACTCTTATAAAAAAAAAATTCTACATTACACTCAATTTTTTTTATCGTCAAGTACGAATAATTATGAACTTTTTGTTAAATGCTCAAGCATTTCTGTTTAATCTAACAACTACATCCACGAAGTACCTACCGTATAAATGTTACGTAAAAATATAATATCTATAAATAGGTCAAAAATGGTACAAATGTTTTGAAAATTATACGACAAATTTACGGGCAAATTTAATTCTATTTTCAAATTTCAATTTTTTACGAATATGTATAACAGAATCAAAATAAAAAAAATAAAATTTAAAATAGTAAAAAGAATATTTTTTGTAAATTTACCCGTTACTTCTCGGTCAAATTTAAAAAAACTATAAAGAAAATCAAAAACGACGTTTTTGCACACCAACTAAATTTAAACTACAACAATGAAGGTCTCTTGTCATTTTTCTATTGGAGCAATATTTACAGTAGAAATCATTAGTCATATACAGTTTAAATAATAAAATTGTAGTATCGTAATTTAAAAAAAAAATCGTAGTTTTCTCTTTTTGGTTTTTCCTTAATTATTATAACAAATACTATAGAAATCAAAGAACTACATCCTTCGTCAGTTGCTGCATGTTAAAAGGAACAAATTGAACTGTTGTTATTTTTGGATTTGAGTAATATTCCTGGTTGAAAATATTTGCCGTTTTATTTAAAATTTCCTTTAGTTTTTCATAATTGAATCGAAAACCCTTTGGAAAATTAAAAAAAATGATTCCTCTTGAGAGATGCACCAACTAGACAGAATTTCCTTTCAAAAAATATATTCTACAAGATTTTTTTTCAAAACGTTGTTTACAGACAGAAAAATAAAAAATGTATATTAATGGGGATAGATGCAGTCACTGGAAAGGTGGGAAGTTGGGAAGATAGGATATAGACGGGAATTTAATGTATATCTGTAAGAAACGATAAACTATTCCTTACGAAAAAACGATTCTGAGCGGAATTCAGTTGATAGAGATGCTATGTCAACAATATATAATGTCATTTTATAGTAAATAATTAAATAGGCTTTTTATATTTCCTTTAATGAAATTTATTTAATGTTGTACCGATTTTCCCAGTTTCTGACGTTTTTCTCGGTTTTCCCAGGTTTATCCCGGGTTTTCACATTAACTAGAAAAAACTATTAGGAAAATCTTAAAATGACTTCATTAAAGTGTCTCCCTAGTGAAATTTCCTTTAAAAAACCTTGCATCATTAAAATTTGAACAAAAATTACTGGTGAAAAAGTTGTCCATCGAAAACAAAATCGTAATATTATATTTTGTTATTTCGTAAATTTCCCTGTTTTTATTTTTCGGTTTTTCGCATTTGGTGAGAAAACTTTTGAGAAAATCAAAAATTGACATCTCAATCCGATTTTTATAGATAACCTTAGTTACACGGACGAAATAGAAAAAAAATGGAAAAGTTTGGTCAAAACGTATCTATGGTAACTATTATAAATACAAATAATTCTAAAGATCTATGTGCCACATTATTTTATGCAATTAAATGTAATGCCTTAAACTGTCTTCAACGTAATTTCATCAGTAAGACAGTAAGTTTAACAATTTTGTCTATATGTGTGTGTGTTAAAAATATATGACAAAACAACCCTCTACTTTTTTTTTAATCGCGATATTAGTATTTTATATATATATATATACACCAAATAATTTAGCTAAAAAAAATAATAAAAAATGACATGGGTAACGCTGGGCAAGACAACATCACAATCATTCTAAAGTTTTTCATGAAAAAATGTTATAACAGAAAACTATATTAGTCCAGCGAAGGTGAACTACCCACTTTCCACCTATTTGTTTTTATTTGTAATTATTCATTACTGACACAGTAAAAACCAAAAAGGAATATGGGTAAAAAATGGTACGGGCAACGCTGGGCAGGAGAGCTAGTAAATGTATATTATTTAATTACAAATGTGTTATTTATTTTGTTAAAATGATAGTGTAATGTGAAACTTAAATAACGACTGATTGTACAACAATATAAAAATTACGAAAATATGAAATGCATTAAAAGGGCCAGTTAATGGGGACGGTTGTTATACTTTATATTGCAATAAACGTGAAGTTCGAAAAGATATGAATTAAAATCACTATAACACAAATAACTGTTTTTTAACAAATTTATTTATTTAAAAATTTCGCAAAAAAAGTTCATGGGTGACTATTTTTGTGGGTAAGACGGAGAAGGGCGGAGACTCATTTTGATTTTTGTATAAAGTAAAATTACTGATTCTATTTAATTTAAATCTTCGAAGTCTGAAAGGAAGTTTTAATTTCATCACTAAAAGCTGATTTCCACGTTGCTAGTTAGCGTAGCATATCAATCGATGTTACCAGTTACTAAATACCAGCAACTATTTAAATGTAAAGGGCTCAGACCTTTAAAATAAAAATACAAGACAATTTATATTTTAAGTCAAGAGAGAAATGTATTGGTTTTAAAGTGTTGTTTATTAATTTTTCCTCTGAACAACTTCTCAACCAGAAATTTTGCTCTGATTGGGAAAAAAAAGGAAAAATTTACGAAATGTATTATTTTCAATTTTTTTTTTTTTTTTGTTGTTGTGATTCAGTTAAAAGTATCATAAAAACTTGAATTTTGGACATAATAATGATATTTGTTTTTTCTACACGTGGTACACAATTTTCATAACATTTGAGACATTTTTAAGCTGTTTATAGAGATAGATGTACAATAATTTAACGAATATTTTACACAACTTTTCTATGGTAGTTACTCTGTGGACAAAATTATTAGACCAACCAGAAATTAAAATGTTTAAAATGCTTAAAATTTTAACAAAACGTTGTTATAAGTCATCATTTTTAGTGAAAACAATTTCTAAACTGCACTCATTTTTATTTTTTTTTATAAGAATTTAATGTCCAATTTTGGCGAAAATTGTAAATCTTACGGCTTTTCAAAAATCGTGTAACCGAACTCCACTTTATATTCCATCTTCTCAAATTATCATCTCCAATAATAACCCACCCCATCGTACAAAGTAGATATATCAGCCTTTTTATAAATTATTTATTAATTACCGTATAATTATAAGTAGGTAATTCTTCGTCGATTTGTATTTCTATAATTGGATTCCTATAATCAACCATGTTTTCACTATCCACAGGTAAAATGTCTTCTATGTTCATAACGAACATTTTTAAAGTACTATTAAATATCCATGGAATATCCCATTGCAGAGTGATAGTAGTATTATTAATGTCTTGAGCCTTGAGATTAACCGGAGAATCAGGCACTGTACATAAATGAGAAGAATACTAAATATGACACCTTGTACACAATATAGCTGATAATTGTTATAAAAAAGTATTCGAATAATTTTATAAATGAAATTAAACATCATGAAAAAAACATTCGTAACTCCAAAACTACTCTAATGCATTTCAGTAACTGCAATAATTCGAAGATATCAACATTCTACAGTTTAATTCTTGGGGTAGATACTATATTCAATACTCATAGTCTACAAGTTTAATACATATTCTCTTTGTACACACTTGTATACAGGATGACTTACAAAGCGTGCTCATTCCATTTCTTTGATTAAATTTTGCATAAAAATAAATTCTGATTTTTGGAACTATTAAGTGTAGTTAAAGCCGCTATTTTTGATATATCTACTTAGATTTTTCACAACATTTAAAGAGTATCCTGTGGTGATACCAACTTTGATTTATTAAATGAGAATCAGAAAATGTAGGTTCTGAGTGTTTATTACACTCAAAATTAGACATATTTACGTTTTATATTCCAAATTGACCAAGGAACAATTTTCATACAATAAGTATTTTTTTTTTGTCTACAAGTTTACAAACAAGAATTAGGAATTTTGATCTTCATTTTAATTTTTGGAAATTCCTAGTCGGTACTTTTTTATAATATAGTTTTCTATATTATTATAAAAGCAAATATTCAAGTAATGTAAGTTAAGAACAAATTTTTTCTATGCTACATTTCAGAAATGAATGCATTTTAAGACATGGAAATTTCAATGTATACATATGTGGATAATTACTAGACACTTACAGAAGTGGGATGATTCAAAGTTATTTCTAGCAACTTGTTTGAAAATTCACGGAAGTAGTTAAAAATAATTTTATTTTTATTTTCATAATATTAATATATTTGGATTAATATTGTAAGCGCACAGAAATTATATAAAAGAAATATAAAACACAGTCATATTTTTAGGATATTTTAGACCTAAATATATAGTTCCAAAACACTATAATAAAAATCTAGGATAGATAAACGAATGCAATTTTATAAAAAAACACACCTTTGATTAAGCCAATATACCTATCTAAAAAACAATATGCCTTTTATGTATTCAAATGTATCTCAAAAATTAATTAATAACAATAAATTAAAGAAAATTGGAAACTTAAACCGCCCTAAAGTACCTCACTAGTCAGATTTATTTTTGGAAAAAGGATTATCCTTGTAAATCGTTTTATCAAATAAATTTTCATAAGAGAGAAACATAAATAATACAAATCTTTATTTATAAAGATCTGAAATAATTTTTCCTCTATTTTATTTTACTGTAATATTTGTGAAGGTTTTAGGGGTCAACTTTAACACTTAGAAAGGGAACCTATATGAAAAAATGCATAAATTGAAAAAGTTTTAGTTGCAATAAATTTCAGTGTTGAAATTTTTAATTGGGTTCCGTCAACCCGTTGACAAGATATTCAACTTTTTAGATTATGTAGATGAATAATAGTGAAGCACTAATAAAACGCTGCGCACCCTGCCACAACATAAATTATAAGCCACTACTCTTCCCCTACCTGAAATAAAAATAAAATATTAAGTGAACGAATTGATGGAAATCAAAAATGTTGACATCAAAATCTATTTAAAAAAATACTAATCCTTTTTATAATTCTATTTATGGAATTTTTAATAGAAGTTCTAAATTGAAAAATCAAAGTTTTTATCGCCAATCAACATAAAATATTCCTTAAATGATAAATATATCTATAAGTATACCGAATAAATCGGCAGCTTAAATACACTTAAACAATCCAAAAACAGAATTTGAATATAAAATTAAATAAATTATGAGGTAAGCGCGCTTAGTGAATCAATTTTACATTTCTTCAATACAACATTGCTCAACGTCTTTTGGTTTGAATTTTTTTCTCAAATAAACTCCAAGATTAAATATTGGAAAACTTTTTTGTATTTTAATTCTTATTTCCGGATTGGTCCCCTGAATTTCAAATAATCGAGAAACTAGTGTAAATATCATTTAACTTACGTCCGTCTTCAATGTTGAAAGAAATCGATGAAACAACACCACCATTTGGATAATCATATGACTTAGGAGTTATCTGTAATGATTAAAAAATATATCTTTTAATAGATAATTCATTCTATTCAGCCCAAATAAATAAATGCTAAAAAAACTTATTATGCACGTACATTGAATTTATAAGTTTTACCATAGTATTTATTAAAATTTAAATTATAGAATGTATGACAGTAGTATTCTGGCCAAGCAGGACATTTCATTGGTAGAATGAAAGATGTATTTGTTAAGTTTTCATTAAATGAAACTATGAATCCACTCAAATTTGTATTTTCTGAAAAAAAGCTCCAACGAAGTCCTACTACACGACTCTTCGCACTCTTTTTATAAACCATTAAATCATCAACTGGCTTCAAATCTATAATTATCATATAGACCATATAGAAATAATATTTTTATAGTTTCATACAAATATACAATATATTTTGGTTAACCTACTCATAAGTTTAGTAGTAAAATTGACACGGAAAAATTGCTCAGGGTTATAACCGACATGTGTTTTTATAAAAACTTTCATTTCGTAGGTAGTATTCGAATTGAGATTATCGAAAGAAATAATATTTTGTTTCGTCTCTTTTGTTTTTAAAATATTACTACTCGTATCCTTAAAAAAAAAAAAAAATGATTTGGATATTATATAGTAAAGAAATAATTGTGTGTACTTTTATTTATAAAAAAACCTTTAATTCTATATAATATCCCAATAAGAATCCGTTCAGCTTTGTACAATCTATAGAATCGGCATTCCACTTAACGTTTACCGAGCTATTCGTCACTGATATTGGAGAGTTTATATCGATTTCAGGTTTTATTTGTGGATCTAAAGGGCAAATATTTATATTATATAGTAAATAACAATGTGTGACTGTAGGAGAGTTTGATAATATATTATTTTACTTGACGGTGGTGTATAAACATACACCGTATTTTCTTTTTGAACTGAATTGAGAACTCCGACTTTAATATAGTATTGTGAATGAGGTACAGCACCGAATATGTCATAACTTGTTTGGTTGTAAATTTGTATTGATGTCCAATTATCGTTCTTTATTTCATTTAGAGAACAACTGAATATTCTATTGAGCTAAAATATTGTATAAGCGTGGATTTAATTTATAGAATATATGTGACCAAAAGTCGTATTAAAGTCGATTATCAACGTGTATTCTTTTGTTAAAATATTTAGGTTGTTTTAAGTTTAGCTAAATAATCTGTAATATAAATATTATCACCCTATATTTGGATAAATTCATATCTACTAAATTAGTATAATAAATTATTTATAATTAACCAAACGACATTGTAATTATTTTATTTAAATAACTTGCATAAGTATTTCATACAGGAATGAAGAAGTATTTGACATACTAAAATACATTTACTCGTAAGTATAAGCACCACATGGTCATAACTTCAAAAGGGGTTTAAATGTTTGAATTCATAATATATAATAATTGTAAATTAATCGAACATAGTTTTCATTCGAAATATTTACTAATTATTGTTGAACGAGTTAGATAAGTAAAAGTAGGTAGGTAACTAATATTATTTAAATTTAATAAAATTACTTTGTAACTGACAACGCATGTTACTGGGTTTTTAACCAACGTATTGAATGGATAAACTGAAGATCCTAATTTCCACGATACTTTTATTTTATCATTGTTGATGCTAGTGACAATATCAATTATTTTCATTTCTGACTCTATAAATTTAAAATTAATTAAAAAATAAAGAAAAAAAACGTTTATATTGACATATAAGTTAATTTAATTAAAACTAATATTTACCCGGCATAAATGGACTAAATGAATAAGTAGATGATGGCTGTAAGGAACCTAAAGAAGTTTTAGGAGTCATTGAAACGGTGTATCGATATCCAGGATAGAGATCGTTTATTACGTGTCCACTGTCTGAACTTGATAATATTTCTTGAATATCAGAGATTCCATTTTTCGATTGATTTAACGTTAACGTCAAAACATATTCACGAACTTCGCATTCAAGTCGTTTAGTAATTATCTGGAAATTAAAAATGTTTATTTAAGTATACCTAATACGTAACAATGATGTTTTACAGTATATTTACAGTTTTAAAACGGTAAATTAACAATTAATAATTACAATAAAAAAAACACTTACTTTATTCCACGTTATATGGACGCTTTTTACTTCGGGTATTACTTTAATGCCGTAATCGTTTATTTCCGGTTCTATAAAAGTGTGAATAAATCCAATATTAATTTCGGAATTCTATTACAAGTGTACTTTTTATACTATCAAAGTTTGGATAATGAAATACGTTGAATCTCGATATAAGTAAATTTTTTGTAATTTGGACCGTTTTTGGGATGTAGAGAGGGTGATTTAAATAGGTGTTAACAATACCAAGAAAAAATAAATTACCAAAACGAAAAAAAGAAACTAAGTTTTTTTGGGGGATGATCGGGGACAGATTGGACCTTTAGACCGGCCCATAAAACTTAATATGTTACGGCCGATATTTAGGAATTCTTTTTATTGATACATAGTATAGTCTGATAATTTAGTATCACAATATAAATTGTTATATATCATTTATATTATATTATACCTAACCTCTTTAATATAATTAAATAATGATGTAAATAATTTAAAATTAAAGGGGTTTTTTTTTTTTAAATATCTCTTTTTGAACTACTTTAATAATTCTATTAGAATCTAATAATGTTAATTTCTATTTTTAATACCTATTAACACAAATGCTTCTAACTTAATAGGTATCCTACAGTTAACTGCGAAGCCTCGTCTTTATATGTTTCAAAAATGTAAAACACCTTTTGCATCACACGATTTCTGGTTGAAAAATTGTTCTCAGAAAAAAAAAAAAAATTTTTATAAGCAAATTAATTAAATAGGCTTTATATAATAATTTCTTTCTTTAATAATATTTGTTTAATGTTGTACCGATTTTCCCGGTTTTCATAATTTCAGGGAAAACCACAGAGAAAATCGAAATATGACTGCCAAAAATACCTTTCCAGTCGGATTTCCATTTAGAAAATCTGCTATCATTATAAATTGAAACAGAAAGACTAGTAGAGAAGTTTGCACACAAAAAAAAATCGTTATATTCAAATTAATACCTTTGTGTCTTATATTTTCCGTTTTTTCGGTTTTTTAAATTTGATAAAAAAAAATTAAGAAATCGAAAAATGAACTTCTTAAAGTACCTCCCCACAACGATTTTTTTTCTGAAAAGGTGCTACAATTTAACACCAGAACAAGATATTTGGTTAAAAGTTGTGCAAAGGAATGTAAAATAAATAAACATCTTTGTAAAACTATAAATCTCTTCTTTCTAATCAGCATATAAAAGCACAAAAAATACTTCAAATAAGTACCAAATAGCAGAATATGATAAGCAACAAATGCATGTGGAGCATGAGCAAATGATAAATTTAATAAGAAATTTAATAGAAGCCACTAGGCAGTAATTAGACAGTAATTTATGCTTACACGCACTTAATTATAATATTACATAAAAATAAGTTAAATTATTTTTAAAACAAAACTGTCCAATAAAGTAGACGGGTGCGGTCACTGTTGTAAGTGGCAATTTAAGGAGATAGGGTACAGAAAGGAATTTAATGTACATTTGTAAGCAAAAATAAACCATTGCCAACGAATTAAACGATTCTTGGCAGGTTTTAATTCATATTGGTGCTTTTTTCAAAAATATATGTGTCAGTATCATGATAAAATAAAATACTTAAATAGTAATTATATATTTTCTTTAATAATTTTTGTTGAATATTGATCCTATTCTCCCAGTTTTCCCATGTTATTCCAGGTTTTTCAAATTTTATTAAAAATCTAAAATTAACTTCCCTATAATACTTCCCCCCCACACCAATTTCAATTCTGAAAAAGTGCTCCACTTGAAAATCAGAGTAAAATCTCTGGTAGAAAAATTGTCCACTGAAAATATATCATCCACATCACAACTTTCGTGGACGCTTTTGTATTACGTTATGATTAATATAGGCAATTTACGCGTATAATATAAATTCAAGAACCTGCGTACTTAATAAAAGTTTTTATTCTATTTTCAACTGTATTTAATTGAATTTGTTTCTACGTCTATTCGGATTACTTACGTATACACATTGTTCTATAGTGACCGTACACGATATCCTGATCGTTAAAGTTCCCGTCATTTGTTATAACCAAAACTCCAATTTTATATAAACTGTCCGGTTTTAAATCGCTTAAAATTTCAGTGGAGCCGTTATTATTTTCGCTTATTCCCTTTGGTTCGGAATTGGTAAACTTATCTTCATTCAATAACTTAAAACATTAATGTAAGAAAACATAATATTATAAAATTAGTTTCTTGTAATCCTGTTTTCGTGCGTGCCTACATTAAATACTTTATCGTTTTGAGCTATGATAAAATTACAATTTATTCAATGCAAATTGTGTTGGTTAGTACAGCACATTTCAAATAATAATAATAGTTCAAATATCTATACGGAAAGTACCCGCAATGGCATATATAGAAATTAATTTTGGGTGGGGGGGGGTGAGTTTTAAAAAAACGAGTTTATTTAATTAATATAATAAACTAACTTTATTTTAACAATTATAGATTTAAACAAGTATAACATATAGGTAAATAAATATATATATATATATATATATGTATACATAAATAAAATTAAAAAAACAAAATCTAATTTTTGAGGGAGATTGGCAAAAGAAGTGATTAACTTCTTGAGTGTCTATTCAAATACTTTGATGAGTTTACATGAGGGCTAATCCTGTTGGTCGATTTTCGCTTGTACCAACTATTTCTCAAGTACGATTTCAATCTTTTAAACGTCGAAAAGTATCTTACTGATGACACTGTTGAAAACGGTAAAGTTACTTATATTAACGTCATAAACCATAATATATTTGGAAAAAACGACACGCAGCGGTGCGCCGTTATCTAATCTTACTTCATACCCGACTATAATAATAATATTTATATCTATTACGACTTAAACGCTTTAATATAATATATTCACATACATTTTCATAAATACCAATGTGTGCCATACGCCTATATCAACCATACATTTTAGGGGAAGGGTTGAACCCCAAAATCCTCCCCTATATACGCCTCTGATTACCTGTATATCAATATTAATCCTGATTTTTTTTTTTTAATAGAAGCATATGCGTTTTTATAAGAAATTGTTATAGAATACACGGTGATTTTTTCCTAGTACAATATTATAAACTTATAATGAATCATTTGAACAAATTTAAAGACAATTACTTTTAAGTTTATTTCGATCGAGCACATGTATAATTTTCAATTAATTTTTATTTCCAATTCTGTTACCTACTTTAAGTATTTAACAACTTTTGATTATAGCATTTACATGAAACATTTTAATGTTTTTTTATTTCAGATTAGGAGAATAATTTGTTTTTATGAATACTTAGTTAATGTCGTTAAAGAAGGAAATATACGTGTTTTCCCTTTTTCATTAATGTTCTTTAGCGAACTTGAATAAAAGGATATAATACAAATTTATTATATTTTTAAATACAACAAATGTGTTCATCATAGTTATAAATAATTTAATAAGTGATAATAAAAATTAGTTCATACAATTGACAATCATAATTCAATCAATAGTCATAGCTACTATAAAAAGATAGTATTCTTTAATAATATATACTCGTATTAATACATAGGTAGTGAATGGCACAGCATAGTCATTAATGAAAATTAATTTAACATAATTAATATTATTTCTAAAAGCTTACCTTATAAATTAATTGATAATATTTCAGTTTTAGATTTTTATCTCCGCCAATATTAGTTGAATGAAAATTCAGATTTACCTCTATTGACTCAAACGTATTTGAAATTATTGTCGGTGGTTTAATTAGGTATGGATATCCTAAACAATGAAAAATTCTTTACTATACAGCACATATTAGACCAACATTAAGAAATTTGAAACAAATTATATAGAAATACAATTAAAAATCCCAAGTCCATATACGATAATTTATTTGTAATTTTAATTACAATGAAAAAGGAATTAAATTCGGATTTACATAATCAAAAGTGTCAAAGTGAAACAAGGATCCTATATTCATAATAAAAATTTTGATAATATACTTATACTATTAGTGACAAATGACAACTGACATTTTAAACATTTATATTAATTTTTCATAGAATAAATATAAATTATTTAGACAATATATTTGAGAATATATTATAGAAAAATTCTTAAATAACTTTAAATTTGTGGATTTCATAGAGGTTTAAGTTATTATAAATTAGTATTGTAGCTTACTTTCTTGGCATTTCGGTGGTACGTATCCTATTGAACATCCTTGCGAACAGATGCCCGTATATTTATCGCACGTATTGTTAAAACAATTTGACGAGCAAGTTTGTTCACAATCAGCACCATATTTACCCAATTCGCAATCTAATTATAACAAATTGATGATAATAAAAATTAATATACATAATAAAATAATAAAGTAAAAACAAAATTATTAAAATTATTAATAAAATGTTGAAGAAAATCAAAGCCGTTCAAAATATGTGTATCCGTACTTTACTCTGAATCGTTTTTCGTTAGCAATGGATTGTCGTTGGTTACAGGTATAAATTAAATAACCTAATATATTATACCTTCCTAACTTCCCACCTATAACAGTGGCGCATTAATTATCTTCAAGTATTAATTCTTTGTTTAAATTTTTATTTTTATTTTTATAACACTATTATTGATTATAAAATGCTAAATTTACCATCACTACACAATGGACCGGTTAATCCTACTGGACACGTGCATCCATAATTCGTACACATAAACATTCCACGGCATTGTTCACTTAGATGCATAGAACAAATCCCAGTACAATCAGATCCAAATAAATTCGGGCCACAACCTAAAACATACATTATTTAATTTTGTTTTCATGGATATTTATAATAATTATATCGATTTTTAGGTGACCATTAAATCAGTAAATAAATAACGCTCTCTAAAATTGAATTGTCAATGCGCACATACTAAAAGAGCATTTAGAATAATTTGTATGATTTACTTATCATGGCATGATAAATCAATGTACCATCGATTTTCTCAGAGGTATTAAACTGAATTTGATTTAAGTTTTTGTCAGTCATTATGAAATTATTAAATCTGTATTTTAACACTATTATTCCCCTACTCCTTACAAATTAAATTATAGATTTACAGTTTTTGCGTTCTAAAAGGAACCCCCAAATAAACGTTCGAAAAAATAATATTTTCTTCCGAGTATAAAATAAAAAATCTATACTCAGTTAAGGTATTAAAAGCAGGGGTAAAAATTTACAATAGATTAAAATAAAGCAACAATTCTATACTGATTGAAAAAACATAAATCGAATACACTTAAAATCCTACGATAATTTTACCGGTTCATGATATCACTGTATGTAAGAAATGTCTAAATAAAAAAAAAAGATCTACAATAGTAAATTCTAAGATTATTATTTATTATATTATGTACTATTAGGTATTATCTTCAAAACCTATACATTTAATTACCTGTCTCGCAAAACTCTCCAGTGAATCCAGGAGGACAAATACATTTTGAACTACTGGAAGTCCATCCACCATTTAAACACAAGTTTGGACCATCAAAATCCATAAATGATGAATTTTCTATAATATATTTAATCAATATAAAAATATGTAACTTTAATGTCACTATTCACCATAATTAGCTGGTTGCATTAACTGGTAGCGTATAATTACAATGATTTGAATAATTGAATTACATTAAATGACGAGAATCAATTACAGTATAAAATTTAAACCCAAACAGATATCTAGTAACTACTTTAAATTTACATAGATACCAAGTACATTTTTCAATTCTATTATTTATTTTATCTGTATAGTTTATACTTTATTTAAATTATCTACTGGTTGTATACACTATAGCACTATTATAGGTTTATTAAAAGACTTGTGTTATATTATATTATATACTATATTATTTTGTGTTACCAAATCCAATTATTGTGTATGGTTTTGGGTTGAATACAACGGTTTTCCCACAATTTGTAATAATTCGAACTTCTTCTTCATCTAAAATAATATCAAATATGCTATAAACTATAAAATATATTTTTATTGGTTTATATATTACATAATACTTATATGCATTCAAAATAGAGTATTAATTTATTATGTTACATGCATTTAATTCATCTAAATACAAGATACATGATACTTAATATTTTCAATTTTTATTTTATTAAATATTTAACGCATATTTTTTTAAATCTCTAAAATAATATTATTAAAACACATTTATTGGTAGCAGATCTCATAATCTTTTCATTTTCCTAAAAAATGTATTCTCTTAAAAAAAATATGTATAATGGTGGATATTGTGGAAGAAGTTTTAATGATGTTAATTGGGTAATAAAAGTTTCTATAAATGTGTGATCCAAAAATGTGTTTTTGTGGTTCTTTAACAGAAATTTTAATTAGACATATGATTCATATGATCGTATCAAGAAATAGTAAAAATTGAAGTGGCCAGGACATATATATATTTGCCCGGTAAGAACTATCAAGCTACTCCGCCCCTACGATAATTCGTTTGAAATCAAAATGGAAAGAACTTATTAATTCCATGTTCGTAATAAAAAAACAAACGGTAGATGATAAATTTAATGTACCTATCTTTACACAATGATTTATCCATTGAAAAAGGATTCTGAACGGAGTTCAGCTATACATGTTTTGAAAGGCTATAATATTTACGATTTAAAAATAAAATATTTCGTACATTTTACCGTTTTCCTATGTTTTTTCCAGGTTTTTCTCATTTATTGGGAAAGCCTATGAAAATTTAAAAAACTACCACTCTAAAGTACCTAATACTCCACAAAAATTTAATTTCAGAAAATATTTTACACTTGAAAATCGGAGTAAAATATCTGGTAGAACAGTTGGTCACAGAATAAAAAAAAAAATAGAAAATAAAAAGATAAACATCACTGTAAAACCATTACATTCTTTGGCCCACTCACAATCAAAAAACCTAAACATTCAGATGTTCATTCTAAAAGTTGTGTCAACAATTTAACTGAAAATAAATGTAAGTGCGATACTCTAAATAATGTAAGTTCTATAAAATACCTCGACATATGTATTGATGAGAAACTTAAATAAGATGTAGAAATTAATAATATTATTAATATGCTATGAAAATGTTTATATATTTATAATTTTTTTTTATTTGGTACTTGGTACAATAAATTATTATTTGTATTACCTTGGTTATTATATTGAGCGATTCGTAAGATTGTAAACAATATTTCCTGTTGATAGTTCATCGATGATCTATAGTTAAAATTTGTTAAAATAATTATTGACAATTGATATTTTTTGTCTTTCATAAAAGTCATATTAGTGATTCGCAATGTTTGTATTTCTGTCTATACACAACAATTTATTATTTAGTTAACACATAATTACACGAGTATAAAGTACCATATCTTAAACATATAGATACTAAAATCAAATATATATATATATATATGTAGGACTTACACCTATTTCCAATATTACAGAAGTTATTACATTATCATATCCATCATGTATACTAACGTTAACTTTCGTATTATCGAAATAGTATTTAGAGTTATAAAAATCTTCATTAAATGTAAATTTATATGTTATTATTAAACAATTTTGGTTTTTTTCGGGTATCCAGTCCAAAGTTAAAAATGTTGAATAATATTTAGTACATTGAGAGTATTTGTTGAACATGCAATCAGTAAATCTAATATTATCCAATTTGCATTCCAAAACGGGTAATTTAAACATTCCTGGAAATAATTGATAAAATATAATTAGTTTAGATTCAAAATACAGTGTGGATTATAATCGCAGTAATTTACGACTGTCGAGATTCAGAGTGTCCTACAGCGTTATCTTTATGCTAATAATTCTGTCAATTTTAATTTTTTTTCTACATTTTTTTTTTCGATCCGGATTTATGCGAGAGAGACTTATGCAGAAAAAAATGTAATTTTTATATGCATCTATTAATTATTTAAAGAAAATTATTTTATTTTATTACTTCAAAGTTTTCAAAATAACCATTTTCTAAAAGATATTATTCTAAAAATTCGAATGCAATTTATATTCATATTCAATAAATATAGTTTCTTAGTAATAGTCACTGATATTTGCTCTTGAAAAGTCTGCTCTTGGCTTATTTTAGTTGAGGAAAAATCCGGTCTAGTCCTATGGTTAGTTTCATAAGTTCATTTCTGTCCTGGTCTTAATTTCACATTACTGGTCTAGTTCGGTTTTCGAAAAACTGAACCGTGCAAAGCTAAATTGCATACACCAACTGTCCTCTTAACACTCTTAACCACATCTAACGCTCTTTTTTTCAGATTTGCTTTCCTCCTATATTTATTTTCACTGTAGTTCTTACTGTTTCATTTTCCATTCTCCTCGTAACATGACCAATTAATCTCTGTCTATCTTTTCCAATTTTGTCTTTTATCAAAGCCACGCCTAAGCTACCTCTTATGTACTCATTCCTTATCGTATCTTCTCTCGTCACTCCACTCATCCATCTAAACGTTCTCATCCCTGATACACTCATTTTCTGTTTTATTTTTCTTTCTACCGTCCAAGACTACGAAACATACAACCATGCCATTCTGTAATTTATTAAATATTTCCATTGGGAAACTAGTTCATTAGAATTAGAAATAATATTATATTCTGACAAATTGAACATGGCAAAATTAACTCTTAATAAATACCCAGAAATAATTGCTTTCTTAATAAATAACACATTCGACATACGTGTTGTTGCGAAAATCTTCAAAACAACGATCTCAATACGCTACGGAATGTCTATAAAAAATATTAAATATGCACAATATACCGATAATAACAATAATAATTACTTAATCTGCCTCAATTATAAAATATCAAATCTAAAAAATAACCGAACAATAATAGAAAATCGTATTACCCATGCTAGAAAATTAAAAATACCAAAATTTATGTACATACGAGCAATCGTTTCGTTAGAAATATTTATATGTTTCATTGCACAATTATCGCGTCACTTTTCACCATTAGCCACAAATTCAAAATAGTTTTTAAAAAATCTAATCATCATAATTGCATTTTTGGCATCTTTTATTTTAACTTCAGGACTTCTACCAGATTCGGTAAACTTAGCTATGACGGAATATTTGGGTAAACACTATAAGGACTTCAAAAAGCTACCTATACAATCGAAAGCCCTCACATTACAAATACAAAATTTACATTTCGTTATATACTTTAACGAAAACAACTCGAAACTTAACTTTTTGTCAAATACCTTTTCTGGTCTTTTTTTACAATAACTAGCGATTTACTTCAATGACTCATGTATACTAAGTACACCTTTATTTAATGGAATATTTTAAGTATCACACCTTTTCAAGCAATCTCTACAATTAATTACTATTATCTAGGAGATATCATTATGAATATTGAATTAGATGATTATTCCTTCTCTATCGCTGCAATTCCATTAGACAGGTAATTCAACTACACAATAATATCTAATGAATTAGAAAGAACATACATAACCGAAAATAATATTTCCCTTCAGGCTTACATTATAAACCTAATAATTGAAGCCATATAATTGAACAATTATAAGTTCTTTTAAATTATCAATACAAATATACCAGAAGTATCTGCAAATTACTGAACGAATTTATTATCAAGGGTCCTACGACGGATACTTAACCAATAAATTACAAATTAAACAAACTCGCGCCATTCAATTCACACAAGCAATAGTACAATAGACCTATTAGTACCCCATACCCCATCATAAAACCAAACAAACTGCCGCACATGTATCCCTTGGATAAACCAAATAAATATAAACGCATCATAACAAAATTAACAAATTATAAATCCCTCGTCACAAATAAACAGATATACTCAAACCCTACCCCAAGGCGTTTTACAAAATCGAACGACAGTCGATATTATTCATTGAATCTAGAAACATATCACAAATTCCTATTCATACCAAGACTTCATTTAGATTCATCTCAAGTAAGTACATTTTATTTTTAAATTTCTCACTCGCATTATTAGAGTGGAATTATTTCAATAACACCTATTTCAGTAATTTAATTCCTTTCATTAAAATAAAAAAAAATATAAATAATATATATTATACATTATATAACATATTACACTATAGACAACATTCAATTTCTCATAAAATTATAATTATTTTTTTTCTCTTCTCTCTTTTTTTTCCAATATTATTACCCCCAAAAATATCTCCACCACCAAAATGTCTAGCACAGCTACATCAATATCTCCTAAAGTTATAATGGTCGACTTCGAATTATACAAAGACAGTTACGAACTAGTTTCGGCAGCCACCGTCGTCATTGCCGACGTCTGCACCAGACGATTTTCTAAATTCATTGGCAAACCTATGCTTCTCGATAAAAAAAGAAATATACTTATAACACCACCATTTCTTAAGGACCTGTAGATATATAAATTCAGGGAGGTCCAGGAAAGGATTTTTAAAAAGAAACTTGCATCTCTGGAAGCACTAATGAGTGAACTTTAGGAGGACCTGGACTCTCTTCGTCCTAATTTAACTCTGGATAATTTAATCACTGAAGTAGGTGGACAAAATTAAATAATTGTAACATAGGCCGGGACAACAGATGCGGAAATCTTATCTCGAAGGACATAAAGAATAAAATTTTATCTCTTACATGCGATGATTTATCATCTTTATAAAATTTCCAAAGAGTCTTTTAAAAGACACAAAATGAGGTTAGCACTTGAGACTATAATAATATATGTTATCACCATATTTAACATTCGAATCTAATTATTGACCCCATAGGTACTTATCATACACGCTATCCACTTGAACATTCTATACCCACTCTTAAAATAAATAAACGATAAAATTAATATATTTCAATTACTAACATCTTTCATTTTATATAGAATCAAAATATCATCACCAATGTATTGTACAGTAACAACTATATTTCATAAATATTATCAAATACATAGCATATATTTCATATCCCTTTTATTCTGTAATTTACCATACAAACAAATATTGTATGAAAACAGTAAAACATACAAATTGTAATAACAATTCAATTTTACTTTGTCGTTCAATTATTATTCTTTTCTAAGATGTCGACCTTATGGACGTGGTCATTTTAAAACATGACTATATATATAATGTATTAAATATTTAGTTTTGGAAATAAACGATCAGGCGTGACACTATACAACTACCAACCCCCAGAACAATCAACAAATACTTACACTGACCACTAAAGTGTACTAAACTCCGCCATGTCAATTATCTTTAACACACCCCGATACGCCGCGTCCTGGTCAGCGGCGGTAATAGAGTGGGGTACCCAGAAAGCCTATATAAGACGCCGTTCATGTCATTTTTTCGTCATCCCATGCCTTATACTAATCCTCATCTTTCTCATCCTTCTTCCTTTACCTATACAACCATTTCAAACTCTATCCTCCAAATATAGTGGTTGCAGAACCGAAGGCGGACCATTGTATCTAATAATCCATAACTCCTACATACCTATCTATTGCGTGTGTACTCTGTTTTGCTAGACATTTAGACATGCTCACTTTTAATAGCTTCCCGTTGAAAGACTATACATAACTCGTGGTCATATAAATGCATTATTGGAACGCTAACAGACGCATTATGCGTTAACCTTAAACCAATTTGCCTTTGATTATAACAGTTTGTGTATACGCCTGGAAAAGTGGTTAACAAAAAAAAACAATCCACGCGTTCTAGAGAATAGTGGAGTATCATTTGTGTGGCAATACGACACGCGGCGTGTTAATAATGCACCACCACTATCCCACAATTAAAATTTAAAAGTGGAATACCTCATCAATAGATTGGTGGGAATCAAAAATTTTAACACTAAAATTTATTTTATATAAAAATACATCTATTTATGAAATCTTTAATATAGGTTTAATATATTTTGATATTTAAGACAATATCGATATTGGATAATCGTTTGATGTCGATATTGTTGTGCATCACCGTCATTTATCGATAACCTTAAATAATTTAATTGTACATTATTTTAGTCAGATAATTTAAAAACAATAAGTGTCTACATATTATATAAATGTGTACCTACAAATATGTCCATATGACAAAACCTTAAAATTATTTATTATAATAAAACGATTAATCGTCAACCATTATTTCAATGATAATACAATCAAATTTTAATTTTAAAATTAGGTACCTGTATATTCATTCGTATCCCGTGACCCAAGTTTTCATTAGTTTTATCGGTTTATATTAAACAATTTTTATTTATTTAAAAACAACAAATATTAAAATAATGACTGATGATATTCTAATAATCAATATTATTTTACCGTGTAGAGTAAAGGTTTCGTTTCTTAAATATGGTGCGATGTAAGAAGCGTTGGTATATTTATGAAAAAATCCAGCATCAAATAATTCTTGTACATTTTTTTTTGAAATTGTTTCATAATTGTAATGTATCGGGAACCCGATAGAATTTGTTCTAGAATGTATTTCAATTGAAACGCATCCATAACACGGGAAGATGCCGGTTTCATTCTTGAATTCTATAAATAAAATAAGCATAATAATGCGTACATTAAGAATAATATTATAATTAAAACCCGAAATCCGTCAAAACTAGTTTCCACAAATCCCTTTCGTCTGGTTTTCACGTTAGTTAAAACTAGAATCAACCGTGGGGTTAAATAAGTCTAATATCTAGTTTTAACTGAAACGTATGTATTTGAACTTATACTACTTAAAACGTGCACAGGCGGTTTATAAATATCGCTCAATAAATTCGATCGACCGACTATCAAATCAATTACAATAGATTCAACCGGTCGTTTATCAAATTAAATAGATAATACAATTTCGAGCGATTATATCTAACAATAATAATAATATAGTAAACTTCTCCGGCAATCCCATCTTGTTTTTTTCGTGGTATCTCACCAATGCAGTGGATTGCCGTGATCAAAGCATCGGTCGGAACAAGACAAAGCTTTATAAGATACACTTGTTAAAAGTGAAAAGAAAAGTAAATATGTCGCCCTTTTCGGCACTTGTAAAATCTAGGAATCAATTGGTGTTCTAAAGAAAAGGACATCAAAGCTTTTGGCTCACAATCAAATCGTATATTCTAAAAATTACGGGAAAAGGAAATATTATTTATTTTCATCAAACAATTAACGCTCAGTACCTTATTAATAATATAATATTTAAAGTCATAAAAAAAGACGTCCTAGGATAATGGGGACGGGTGAAACCACTGTTAAAGGAAATTTAATTTATATCTGTTAGCAATGATTAACCATTGCTTAGGAAAAAAAGATTTTAAGCAAAGTTCAGTTAATAGTGATGCTTTATCAACAATATGTATGTTATTTTATAGTAAAATAATTAAATAGGCTTTATGTTTTTTCTTAAATAATATTTATTTAATGTTGTACCTATTTTCCTAGTAATCCTACGTTTTTCCCGGTTTCCCCATGTTTTATCCCAATTATTCACATTTGCTGGGAAAACTCTTGGGAAAATCGAAAAATGATATCGCATAGAAATAGATACCACATAATCAACAAAAATAATAATAATATTTAGTTTGTTATCGAGGTAACCTAATTAACAAAAAGTATACAACAAAATACCAAAATCCCTGTGGCAACTATTCTTACCCCTAAATAATAGCTGCCATTTTGAAAATTCCAATAGCTATAAATCTTTTCTGGACCACGCGAAACGTTTTGCAAAAAATCCCGTTTAAATTAGTTCGGTAAGTTTTTAATCTATAAAGGACATACAGACAGATATTCTTTTATATATATAATATAGATTTATATTACAAAATAATGAAAACTGGAAAAAACCTAAAATAAAAAAATGACAAATTTATGGTGTTACGATTTCATTATTTTAAATTTATACGACCTATGTTTTCTACCATAAATATGGTCTCAATAGAAAAATATCAAAAGACCTTTTTATTGAATGATTAATCTTGTTGGTGAACAAAATTTTCGTTTTATGAATTTCTTTGTTATTTTTTTTTAATAGTTGAGCAAAACGGAAAATTCGTAGGAGAACGATGACTATGTGCGAAAATAATAATTATTTTAAATGTTGTTTATTTATTGTAGTTCAGTTTAAAATATTCTAAGGGACATAAAATATTGACAGAAAACTTAAATTTTTTTTTTTTTCTAGATATGGTAAAACTTTCAGAAAATTTGAGCAATTTTTTAGCTATTTATAAACATTTTAATTTTTCCAGATTTTATGTAATTTTCATTTGGTTGGTGTTCTGTAAATGAATTGTTAGAATTAGCAGAAATACGTGACAATTTGACTTTCGGTTTTTTAAAAGTCGTACTTTGTGGTAAAAAAGAAAATTTAATTTAATGTAGTATTTTTATATTTTTATAAGATTTTTAAGATTTTTAAACTGACGAAAATTGTAAATATTACGGCCTTTCAATACATGTATATTCGAACTTCGCTCTGAATTGTTTTTCGTTATCGATAGCTTACCGTTGGTTACAGGATTTTTTTGTATTTGATGTGTTTATGTGTTTTTTTTTATTTTATATACTTTTAGTAACGTAGGCTTTAAAAAATTTATATTATACATACCTTTAAAATTAAAACCAGGAAACACTAAATTTGTACTTGTACTCATATTCTGGATTCTATAAATCGTAGTGATGTCATAATCAATTTTAGTGACTAAACAAAAATAAAATGCCATAAATTAGTAATTGTATGATTTGTATGCATTATGAAAATTTATCATGTACTAAATAAAGGTAAATATATCGTTACATAAATTGGGTAAATTTGTGTATAATTAAGTTCATACACAAATTTTAAAACAATCCTTAAACTAAACAATATTCTCTTTAAATTTGAATTTAAATAAATAAAAAATTAGCAATGTTTTTTATTCTTTATAATACTTTTAAAATATTAATTTAATGTAGAAAACGTTATTTATCACTAATAACGTTTTAGGTATACGTAATTTATTACAAACGTAAATTAAATTGAAATATTTAATATTTGTTAAGGAGTAATTTTTATAGCGTAACGTACATAACACTTACAATTTTCATGAGAAATAAATTCAGATTTTGGTTCGGCCCATACGTTCAAAATATGTAAACCGAACAGTAAATATACAAGCATCGCATTATTTTTATGAAATTTATAAATTAGATACATTTTGTTTTCACTTTAATATATGCCTTATCTTAAAAATAATCATGTAACAAAAAAATAATGTGAAAAATATTGTACAATACGTTATGCCTGTACCGAACAGACTAAAACAGGTCAAAATGAAATATCGAAGCGGCCGATGTTTTTATCAGCAAAGATTTCATTAATTTTGTAAACCTATAGTATTCAATGTTATCAAGATTCATTCTGTATAACTAAGTATTATCTAAGTGTATATTATTCACACTCTTATTATTTTTTTTTAATATGTAGTGAACTTTGTCTAACCGAACCAGTGTGGAATAGATAAAAAAACAAAGTGATGGAACATGTATTAAGAGCATGGGATAAAGTCGAGGTGGATAAGAAATAATATTTGAAATGAACTTTGACATATACATTATACACAAATCCGAAAAATTAATATTAAAATAATTTTAAATTTTATTATAACAATAGTCAATAATTATTTGCTATTTGTGGAAAATATTTACGTTTTTCTTTTGTGTAGAATGAACTATATACGTGTTATATTATAGGAAGCTGATGGGAAGGTATTATAATTTAGTGAATGTTATTGGTAAATTTAAAAAATTTAAAAAAAGATAAAATAACTGAAAGTCTGAAAATGGGGACGGGTGAGATAACTGGGTGGGTAGTTGGGAAGGTGGAATACATAAATTTATTTAATTTTTATCTGTAACCAACGATAAACGATTGCTAGCAAAAAACAATTCGGAGCGAAATTCAGTTATCAAAAATATGTTTCAACGGCGATTTTCGTCAAAATTTAATTTGATTTTAAAACACTTATAAAAAAAAAAAAATACTACATCAAACTACGAGCAAATCTCTTTTTTATCCACTAAGTACGACTTATATTAACTTAGTGTTAAATTTTCAAATATTTCTCTGAACCTAAAAAAATTACTCAAAAATAGCTCAAATGTTTTGAAATTTTACCACAGCTAGAAAAAGCAATTATAAGTTTTCTATCAAATTTCAAGTCTCTGCGAATATTTTAAACTAAATTGCATTAAAAAAAACGTCCAAAAAGAGGAAGCTGTTCTCAATCCGGTTTTTTGAAAACAAAAATGCGTTGAAAAGGTATATATAAATTCTAAAGACTAAACAATTATGATATCAAATCTACTTATTTGAACACATTTTACATTTGTTTTTAATAAAACAAAGTTGATGATATTCCATGCTAAACATATGAAAATGATACGATTTTTACTAAAGGCCTTGAAGTACGATAGTATTTTTTAAAAAAATTGTAGTTTACTTTAATTGCATACATTTATATTTTTAAGGCTATTTATTAATATTATAATATTTGTGAGTTTTTTGCTGTAATTCGATTATAAATACACATAGAGACTTTAAACTTGGTAATAATAACTCTATTACACTTACCTAAACGTCATGAAATTTCCAAAATCATCAGACGACTTTTTTTTTTCAATGAGCGTTCTGAAATCAAATTTTAACGAAAATCGCAAACAAAATTACGGTACGTCAAATATGTATTACCGAACTACGTTTCGAATAATTTTTCGTTAACAATGGTTTATCGTTGGTAGTTTACTTTGGTTTACTTGGTAGCTACTTTACAGGTAGGTATAAATTCAATAGCTTTATGTATCCCACCTTCTTAGCTACTCACCTAAGCATTGGTCTTACCTGTCTATAGTATCAACGTTTTTTTTTAAATTTATTATATAATTATCTATTTAAAAAAATAAACGGGGGGGGGAAACTATGTGACCGTCAAAATGGCCTTACATCAGTATTTTAAACATATTTACTATCAAAAATATTGTATATCTGTTTTTACACATAACACACAATTCCATTTAACATCATAATTTATATTTTATTATTTACGGTAAAACTCGTATACTAATATAATACGACCAAGATACATTAAATCATAGCGGTTACCTTGATATACCCACCCAGTATAATTCAATGGACTACATTGCTACGCATATGATGTATTTAACTGTAAATATAATAATAATATTAATCTATACACTATACATTAATATTGAATACCTTGCATAATATCTAGTACTAGATATAAATTATAATACTCAGCACTTATTCGATTTATTTTATTTTACTTTTTTTTTTTTT